TCTTTAATCTTAAGACACTTAACGTACGCGCCATCTCGTGGCAACTTTCATAACAATCCAATGAACATTCTATTGGAAGGTTCCGTGATACCATCCTGTGCCTTCACTGTTTCGGCGCGTAGTTGAACACATTTGGTACTAGAATCCCACCACTCCACCACAGAGTCACCGCAGTAGACGTTAGATGAGCGCTGTCGCTCCGCGGCACTTGTTTATTTATTTGTCACGTTTCAACTGGTTAGTGCCATTTTATGTGCACATATATTGCCCTTACATGCATGGTGAATAGCCATAGTACTGTGCTGATTACATTTTCAAAGCCATTCCAAATAGATTACATGAATCGAAAGTGGTATGTTTTAATGCATGCCTCACCCTACAAGTTCCCTCCTCTTCATGCGATATTGAAATGTACTCTATTAATCTTACTCAATTCTGTTCTTTGTGTTCGGTAAATGATTAGTTGCAATTTAAACTTAAAATGTGGGGTGGCATGGATCACACTATTCGGAAAACTGTGGGCACTTTAATCCTTTATGTAATTTTACATCATTTAATTGAATTGCACTGTGCCTTATAAAAGCAGGCTTTCCTGTGAGATTTGTGCCTCATGTTTTCTTGAATAAAAATGACAGGAAACCTGTCTAACTGATAGGTAACTCAGTATCCCAAGTTGCATGGATTCAATGTGAATGAGATTATGGTTTAGGACCGAATTCAGTTAATTGTACATTTTTTAAAGCATTTTGTTAACTGTTAAAAGTAAAATAAAAAATTATATTGTTCTTTTTCAGTGTGTGTCAAATTCATATCCTTTGATTTATGTGGTGGATGCTAAAAAGATTAAATGATCGTTGATAATATCTAGTGGTAAGCATGTTCGTACTACTCATCAACATTGTACTCATCGTTAATTTTATATAGAAGACCAAGCATCAAATAGTAAAAACATGCTTAAAAGCATTAGTGTGCTAGTAGTTAGTTAAGTTATCGTAATTACGGTAACAAGTTGGTTACAATCAATTAGTAGAAAAGCAAAACCCACTTATACTGCGAACGTTAATTTGCTAGAATTCAGAATGCACGTGAGAAGTGGTGCAAGACCTGTGCAAGTCTTATTCGTCGTAAATAATTATATCGTGTCTTTTCTTTTTTTTTAGTTGAGAGGCTGAAGATCTGACAGGCAAGATGCAACCAGTGCAAGAAGATAGTGTGTTAACTCCCCAGGAGATGACACTACTGGCCGAGTACGACAGTCGCCTATATGGCTTCCTGAAGCTGAATACGGTAGAAGAGTCACCAAAAAAGACTCTCATTATGAAGGCAGTGCAGTATTTGGAGAAGGTATTGGCCGACAACCGCCTCTTCCAGGAAATGGAGAAGAAAACGAAGCCAAAGTGTGACAGCACCGAGAAGCTTGTCAATCCCAAAACATACTGCAAGCTTGGACACTTACACCTATTGCTGGAAGATTATGCAAAGTCACTGTCAGCTTATCAGAAGTTCTTCAACATAGAGGAGGAATACTGGAAAGATGCACCATTTCTGTATGGCCTCGGATTAGTGTACTTCCATTACAATGCATTTAAATGGGCGGCGAAAGCATTTCAACAGGTTTTGTACGTCGATCCAAGCTTTAGTCGTGCGAGTGAGGTTCACCTGAGGTTGGGGATCATTTTTAAAATCAACAACGATTTTGAGTCGAGCCTAAAACATTTCCAGCTGGCGCTGATCGATTCGAACCCTTGCTCTTTGTCGAAGATCGACATTCAGTTCCATGTCGCACACCTCCACGAGGTTCAAAGCAAGAACATCCGTGCGAAGGAACTGTACGAGAAGTTGCTTCAGACGCCCGACTTGTCGAACCAAGTGCGTGCGAATGCCTTGCGACAGCTTGGCTGGATGTACCACACGTGTGAGTCACTCGGTCTGAAACTTCAGCGAGAGGCCTGCGCCATTTCCTACCTACAGAAGGCTATTGAGGCTGATCCGAACAGTGGACAGAGCTGGTACTTTCTGGGTCGGTGTTATTCTAGTGCAAGTAAAGTCCATGATGCATTCGTTTCCTATAGACACAGCATAGACAAATCTGAGGCAAGTGCAGACACCTGGTGCTCAATTGGTGTACTCTATCAACAACAGAACCAGCCAATGGATGCGCTGCAAGCTTACATCTGTGCTGTGCAGCTAGATAAAGAGCACTTTGCTGCATGGACGGACCTAGGCATATTGTATGAGTCGTGTGGCCAACTGAAGGACGCGTTGACTTGTTATGTGAATGCGTCCAGGTGTAAAGTACAAGTGGGCTCGAATATCGCGGCGCGAGTGAAAATCCTGGAGACGCAGCTGGCTAATCCGCAGCTGAGCAGCTTGCAAAGACCAAAGACACTTCCCAGTATTGAGGAGGCGTGGAATCTTCCGATACCCGCCGAGTTAACGTCTCGGCAAGGCAATGCAAACAATATGCAGCAGCGCTCAGCTATCGGGATGGCCGGACCGAAGCAGTACATGGCGCAGAGCTACGCTCAGAGCCTCGTGCACCCGTCTTCGCCCAACGTGGGCAACATGCTCGGCGCCGGTTACACGTCACCAAGCGCTTCGAAGAAGCGCCGAATTTCTGGTGCTGGCGGCAACGTGGGCGGCGAGCTAATACAGCCGCCGTTCATGAGTGCAGACCACCGAGCTGCATCGCAGCAGCAACAGCAGAGCCAGCAGCAGCAGTTGTCGGCAGCTAATGTGCCTTACTCGCAAACTCACTTACCTCAGGGAAACTCGCAAAATACTCAGGTGACTATCACAAGTAGTGCTATCGCAGCGTCCGTGCCGCACGACGCCGCCACACCCGACGCGACACAGACGGCCGTCGCGCAGACGGGCGATGCACAGCCGCAGGCTGGCACGCGCCCCGCGCTCACCAATCTGACGTCGTCGCTGATGGGACCAAACAACAACAACAATAACAATGCAAGAGGCGGCGCGCAGAAGGCGGGCGGCGCGTCGTCGTTGCTTCCGGCTGACGTCGCGACGCTGAAGATGTCGGCCGCGCAGATCATCGCCGCGTGCAAGGGTCTCGGCAAGCAGGGGCTGTTCAACACGAGCATGCCGCCGCCGCAGCCCCCGCCGCCGCCGACACCGTCGCCGCCAAAGGAGGAGCTGTACCCGCCGACCCCGAGCACGTACCTCGAGAACAAGAAGGACGCGTTCTCGGCCGAGCTGCAGAAGTGGATCCACTCGCACCCGGTCGCGGTCGTGCGCGGCCTCGCCGGCGCCCTCAAGCTCGACCTCGGCCTGTTCTCGACGCGCAGCCTTGTCGAGGCGAACGCCGACCACATCGTCGAGGTGCGCACGCAGCACCAGCAGCCATCCGACGAGAACTGGGACGCCGGCTGCAAGACGCAGGTGTGGCAGTGCGAGAGCAGCCGTTCGTACACGTCGATCGCAAAGTACGCGCAGTACCAGGCGCAGTCGTTTCAGGAGAGCCTGAAGGAGGAGCACGAGCGCGCGCACGGCGTCTACCACGACACGGACAGCGACTCGGGCTCGTCGTCGAACGCCAAGATCGGCGGCGTGAAGAGCAAGAAGGAGAAGGCGCCGCCGTTCAAGGTGATCAAGTTCGGCACGAACGTCGATCTCTCCGACGAGATCAAGTGGCGCGCGCAGCTGCAGGAGCTGACGAAGCTGCCGGCGATGTTCCGTGTCGTCTCGGCGAACAACATGCTCAGCCACGTTGGCCACAACATCCTCGGCATGAACACGGTGCAGCTGTACATGAAGGTGCCGGGCAGCCGCACGCCGGGCCACCAGGAGAACAACAACTTCTGCTCGGTAAACATCAACATCGGGCCGGGCGACTGTGAGTGGTTCGCGACGCCCGTCGAGTACTGGGGCGCGATCCACCAGCTGTGCGACCGGCACGGCGTCAACTATCTCAGCGGCTCCTGGTGGCCACTCGTCGACGACCTCTACGAGAACAACATCCCGCTGTACCGCTTCATCCAGCGGCCGGGCGACCTCGTCTGGGTCGGACCCGGCGCCGTGCACTGGGTGCAGGCGATCGGCTGGTGTAACAACATCGCGTGGAACGTGGCGCCGTTCACCGCGCAGCAGTACCACCTCGGCATGGATCGCTACGAGTGGAACAAGCTGAACGCGTACAAGTCGATCGTGCCGATGGTGCACTTGTCGTGGAACGAGGCGCGCAACGTGAAGATCTCCGAGCAGCGGCTCTTCGAGATGATCAAGTGCACGCTGCTGCGCACGCTCAAGGAGTCGCAGATCATACTGGAGTACGTGGACAGCCTCGGCAAGCGCGTGCTGTACCAGCAGCGTGAGCGCAACGAGATCGCGCACTACTGCCACATCTGCGAGGTTGAGGTCTTCAACATCCTGTTCTGCCGCGAGCAGGAGAATGGCAAGCACCAGGTGTACTGTCTCGACTGTGCGCGCAAGCTCAGTCCAAGCCTCGATGGCTTCATCATCCTGCAGCAGTACCAGATGGTCCACCTCGCCGAAGTCTACGACAACTTCCAGCTGCAGATGCCACTAGGGCCGCCCGCGGGAGGTATATGAGATCAGTGAGAGGTGTAGGAAGGGCCGGTGCGAGGCCAATCAGTTCTGCGAGAGGATTCGCAAGCACCCACAGGAGGCGTGTGAGGTCTGAGAGAGGTGGCAAGAGTCTGTGGAAGGGCGTGTGAGGTCTGCGAAAGGAGTAGCAAGCATTCACAGGAGGCGTGTGAGGTCTGTAAGAGCAGTAGCAAGCATCCGTGGCAGGCGTGTGTGGTCTGTGAGAGTAGTAGCAAGCATCCACAGGAGGCGTGTGAGGTCTGTGAGAGCAGTAGCAAGCATCCGCGGCAGGCGTGTGAGGTCTGTGAGAGCAGTAGCAAGCATCCGCGGCAGGCGTGTGAGGTCTTGACAGAGGAAACAGCTATCTCGTGTAATGCCAAACAGATCTTGTGCACGTCTTCATCGTTGTGCACACGTTTTGGGTGCGATCCTGTGTACGTATCATTTTCTCGTAATTGAAAGAAAGAGAGGATTTAGGGTCGAATGGGAAAAGCTACGGTGTACCCTTAAAATATTTTCTGTAGGGAGAGTGTGATGTTCTGCGTTATCTACATGAGTTCATTAAATGTAGTAAGATTACAGCAGTTCGTAATAAGAATCCGTCGTAACACTCAAATGTGTTTGTGTGTAGGTAATTTTTCAGAGCCCGCGAAGAAATGCGAGAAATGTGTTCATTTATGTACTGAATATGTATTGTTCTTGTTCTGCACTGTGGCTTGCATTGTTTGTTGCATGTGAATTGTCGAGATGTCATGCATCGCAATAATGTTCTGTTTTCTTGACAAGATCTCGCGTGTGTGAAACAATGAGTGCTGTTTAAAGTGCATTGTTGTTGTAGCCGATCGCATACTATCTGTTCTTTGCATTTCTTGTGGGCTCTATATTATCGATGGTGGCATGCCTGTTTCTGTCTGCTGGCATTTTGATTGGAACTCAGGAACCTAATAAGAACGCTAGCAGTACGGAAACAGGCGGCGTTCCACTGCTGATACGCCGTTTTGTACGACGACGGTGTGCTCAGTTATCATCACTGCCAGAGTGAGCACCCGGCTGGCGTGCATTTGTACAGTGTTCACTGATTTTTACTCCACATTCAACTGTGTGCACGGAGATGCCAGGCTAGTTACAGCATCGTAGGTGTTTGAAATTATGATTTTTTTTTCACCATTTAAGCCGTCGCTCTGTGCCTCCTTCGAGATTTAGTGACACCGCGGACGGAGGTAGGCGGCGTGGCGAGATTCGCAGCTTGCGTGTGCAGCGAAGTCGCGATTGTGCAATTTTACGTTTGACGAGCGTTTGCCGCGCGTGGCAGCGGTGTTAGTGCCGCCACCACTGCTTTTGTTGTGGAGACGAGACGGGGAGGCAGGCGTGCACCTGCCCCTGAAGGGCAGTCTGTCTGTGCAGGTAGCTGGGCCATCCAGCCGGCGAGATCCGAGGTGCACAGACAGTGCAAGGTCAGCGTGCGGCGAGGCGGACGGACTCGCATTGATAGGAATTCTAGCCTAGATACATTGTGTGTTCCCCCACGTGTTTGTGGTAGCCGTGCGCTGTACTGTGTGAAGTGTGCGTGTTTTGACAGCAAGAGAGGGCAACTACTACGTAAAGGCAGGAGTTGTGGTGTGGAGATTGACAAAATGTCTGGTTGGTTGCTATGGTTGCTAGAGTGCCCCCCCCCGCTTCATTCCCAAGAGACAACCGACTGTACATTGGCAGACTAAAAATGGTTTTTGAGTGTTTCTTCAATATTTTTTCTAGTTTTTTTTTTTAAACGGAGTACTTGACTGTGTTTTGGTAGTGCAGCTGATGAAAAGCATGTATAAAAATAAGTTGGTATGTGCATGGATTATGTATCCCCCATCTTACTGCCATCTTCTACTAGTTTTGTTTAGTAACTTATTTCCGACAGGGTCATGTATAAATTGCAGTCGTTATTTTTACTAGTTAGTAATGAAGTTCTTGGGTCCAAAATGTATAGTTTCATGGAGTCAATTGATTTTGTTATAACTGCGATAGTTCGCAAGGCAACCAAGATTTCCCCCATGCACACGTGTAAATTGTACATGTACGTATGTAACTAAAGGGAGTCTGTACAGTAACGCAGTGTTTGTGTTGTCTAGCGAGAGTGAGAGAGTAAGATAAGGGAAAATACGCGAGGCTTGTAAGGTTATTATTGAGACGTTTGTCTATACCCTTGCCGCCTTGTCTAATAGATATGGTCTAATTTCTTCTACCGAGAACAAACTGCATGAGTATTGTGATGAGCTTTATACTTTATATTCAGGAAATCCTGACCTTGCTGTCAAACTACCAAAGAATACATTCGCGATCACGTCCATAATTTTGTCGTTCCGCAAACATGTCGGCCGTTTCTATTTGTGTCCCGTAGTGCATGTCCATTGAAAAAACCGATCGCTTGTCGGAATACAGAGCAAACGGTTTTTGATTCGAATTCGGATTCTCGATCAACATGTGTGGTGTTGGATGCATACTAACGATGCGAGTAGCTTCGTCACGATATTTCAGCCATTATGTGTACGAATTTCTCCTATCGGCGGTTGCCTCTTGATGCCATAGAAGAAAGATTTCATCATGATATTCAGATTCACAATCGTAATATTGGTTCTTCATGCGAGTTGCATTGTTTTGATTATATGCAAAAGTGTATTTTATTTTGTGTACACGTTCGTCATCGATTCATGATTGTGTAAAATCATGTGCATGTCTCTGTAAAGTTATGTAATGCGCGCGGGGAGAGAGTTATTTGCCAGCATTCGTCTGTAATTTCGGTTGTGAAGTCACGCACTTACTACGAGTCTAGTTGAAGGACGTTTGCAGTTGCTGGTCACTGAATGAGTCGGTCGAGCGCGGAGTTACAGGCCAGGTCGTTTGTGACCTCGGTCAACCCGGTTTGGCTCGTAGGGTGAAACTGCTTTGGCTATCTTTGCAAAGCATGTAATAGTTCACGCTGTACCTTTGTGTACGCCGGGGTGTTTGGAAAGATCCTTTCAAGCAATTGTTCCTATTGATACTATTGAATTATACTTTCTTCGATTGACTACTTACTTAGTCGCTTCCAAATGCAGAAATTCAGTCCGAATCTGAACACATTTTTAACAAAATATGTATATTCAAGCCATTTCTGCAGTGAATTCCTGCAGGCGGCAGGTTTCAAGTATTGCATATGTAAATTTATACGTATTTGCAAGTGGCGAATTGTCGCCATACCAGAGCTTCCGTCTTTATCCGTTGACGATACCTTTGGTTGGTTTCCGTATTATTGCACAGTATGTGCGTGTGTGTGCGTGTGCGTGTGCGTGTGCGTGTGCGTGTGCGTGTGTGTGTGTGCGCGTGTGCGCGTGTGTACGTGTCTGGTGTGCATGCGTGCGTGGGCTTTGTACAGGCAACTCTCAGTCTCAGGCAAATCTGCGAGACCACTCCACCCTTACATTAACACGTAAGCAAATATTTGTTGTTCAACCGAAACCTAAGCAGCTTGAATAGCATTGGCGCGAGGGGCGGCATGGCGATCGGTCAACCGCTGCATCCTGAATCGCTGTCACGTCTTGACCGAGACGTCTCAATGACGCGGAGACGACAACATCTGTGCCCCATCGTTTTCCATTCCAAGGTTATCCCTCCAGTCGTGTCCGCTTGTTGTCTTCCCCACGACGAATGGCATCCCCATCCGCCTCCCCGCTCGCGCAGAAAACCCCTTGCAGTCGACATAAACCGCTGTTGTTGTTGCTGGTGAGGGAATGCTCGGGCGACATTGTGCCAGAGGGGGACAAGCGTGCGGTTAGGTGTGATCAGTCGGGTGCATTGTACGAGAACAATCGCCGGCCCCGAGGCAAGACCTGTATGCCTCCATCAACAGCAAGCGTACTCTCAAGTTACTTGTAAGAAAGTTACTGGTAGGAGCGCTGGTGTATGCGCTTACCGGCATCTCCGCTGCAGGACATTTATGGTAGTTTCTGCTCCATAGGTACCTTGTACCTCGACGACTTTCATGACTGAGTTTAGCAATTTCTGCTGAAAGAAATTTAAGCAGTCGAATTTGTACGATTTGACAGGCAACTTCTTACGAAAATTGCTGCTTAGCTGATCGTGAATGAATGGTTGCGGGGCAGAACTGTTGTTAATATGGGAATACGTCAACGTTAACGATAGTTAGATTATGAATAGTCTCTTTTTTATTATTGCGTTTTTGTGAATTTCGTCTCATTCTGTGTGTGAAGTGTTTCAATAAATTGATGGGGCATGTGTCAAAGCAAGAAATGTTACGTAAGTAACTCCTGAAAAGCCCGTATACTGCAGTTTCTGGCTTATTGAAATGTTGACCTCGTTCGTTCCTTTACACATGGCTGTTTGTAATATACATGTAATTTACACATTAAAAAAAGACTCGTTGTACAGAAAAGCATCTCTCTGTAGCTGAATTGGATTGTATTCAAAAGTGCAGAATCAAAAATAAAAGTTTTGTAACTGTATTTAAGGAGATTTAGCATGCTCACTGGTGTTTGTCGCACATTGTACATAAAAAACTATTGAAGCGGCATGCCTTCCTCAGAACTGTCATGCACTCTCACCAGAAATCCAATGGTTAATGTTGAAAGCATAAACGATAGCTAATTTCTGCTCCACTTACATTGTAGATATTGTAAAATAGGTAATATTAAGATTTTGTTCTAGCAAGAAATATTACAACCTGAACCAACGTGAAATCGTTTTCAGTGTTTGCTCTGAAATGTTTCTGAAAAGGTGTCCCGTGTCCACTTCCTTTATGCAATGGTCGATTCGTTCGTTGGTCTCACATATCGAAAAAACGATTTTGCTTTAATCGTCTCTGCGTATATACGAAAATGTATCAATTGGATGGAGAGGATAACAAAGCGGAAATTATAGTGGCGGTGAATGATAGGTGTTCATAACAAAAACATTACGATCCTGGTTAAGGTTTTGGCATGAACCCTACAATTACCTTACATCTACACACAAACATGCATGTATCAGGTGACAGACCATATGTATATTGTAAATCTTATACGAAATTATTACTTGTAGTGGCCTATCATCCCGAGATAAATGGTAAGTGTCAACACTACATACATACCAGCCCTTTAGGTTTACCCTACAGCCCTAGCAAATATCTTCAATCAATTATGCTGCGCAGCAATGAAAATGAGTTTTGCACATGTACAAGTTTCATTCAAAAATACACATTTTTTATTGCAAATGATTCAAAATGTCTAGTATAAAATGTCATCAATGAATTAACATATAATTACACGTGAATTCATACGATTTAGTCACCGAGTGGTTCACCTGTTTGTACAACATGTGCAGTATCGCTCTAGCAAAAACTTCGTTCAACACTTGACTCTTAACAACTTTAACAACATTGTGCAGATAACAAAGTCAAAGTCAAACATCTGTAAGGCCAAAACAAAATATAGGTGTGGTTACGGTTTCCCGACCGACCCTATTTATTCCCAGCTACCCTAAACATCTTATTGTCAATTTTCTTTAAAGTAAAAAAAAAAACAATTAAAAAAAAAAAATATGAATTGGACAGTTCCTGCTTCAAAAGGCGCAACGCACATCCTTCGGACATGGTTCGTAAATAAAATATTTCAAGAAAATAAAATGTTTTCCCTACCTACCTACCCTATTTTTTTCGGCATGTAACGGTAACCACACATATTTTGTTTTGGCCTAAGGAAACTATACTAATAACATGCTACCGAGCAACTATGAAATGTCAAGCTATCATCTAACATAGCGAACGAGGGCACAACTAGTAAATTTAATTAAGGCCATTAACACAAGCATTTTATTAATTAGAGAATGCAGTCCAATGTACATAACAGAATATGAACAAATTATTTTTTCCATTTAGCCATGCTGCGCACATGCGTGTAATCAAATAAAATCTAAACAACTAAAGGCTCATAGGGGTCTATGTCCCAGGGTACTGCCGGGAACGTACCCTGGGTTAACTATTTGAATATGGTATAGCCGGTAGGGGAGTAGGCATAGGCGACTTCCTAGACTCGTTAGTGGAGTAGGCGAGGTACGGTCCGGCATATTAGATCACAGGCCCTGGGCCAAGGGCCTGTGATTAGATAGTACCAGGGTACGTTCCGGTATACCGGACCATACCCAGGGTACGTTCCGGCAGTACCCTGGGGGACATAGACCCTCTCAGCCAAACTAAAGCTCAAATATGTAAGCAGTTGGCAGACAACAACACGGAGTTAACCTAACCTCAATGCTGCCATCTACAAGAAAATATGTACTTTAATACATCTCTGAACTTATGCTTCAAAAACGTCTAAAGGTTCAGTACAATGCCACAGTTTAATTTATGACTACAATAACACATCAGCATTTCGTTCGAAGAGGGCGACATTTGTTCTGTGCAATTATCACAATTTATTATGAGGATGGGGTTCATGCAAGCACGAAGATAAGAAAAACAAGCCCATAAATATTAGACATGGGCAATAATACACAATAGGGTGACACACACATACACAGCAACATTACGTCAGAAATATATCACAACTAATAGTGATATATTTTCGATTATACACTTTCACCCGTACAGCTGGTCGACATTGAAATTGATTTATTTGTTGCTTTTTAATCTCTAAAAATATATGTCTGTGCTCCTTTAATATATTCCAGTTGATATAACTGGGTTGAACCGAATTATGTGCATTCATCCTTGACTATCGTGAACCTCCCGTGGGTTACAAAAAGTAAATGCTATGCTAAAAACCGTTTTGGTCTGTTAAAAGAAGTGATGTTTCAACATTATATATTGCATTTCAGAAAAAATCTTGTGTACTAAATTTTGAATTAAGATTCAGTGTCCAGAACCCATTGCATCTTGTTGATTCTTGTCTCTTCATGTAACTCTGTTCGGTGGCTATAATAATTAAGATGAGGTACTCAAGGTTCATACAATTCTCAATGAACCTGCTCTCTATATTATTATGCACTAGTTCCAACCCCAACACTTACGTGTAAAATAAAAATGCATGTTCCTCACGCACACACGTCCTTCCGAAGATGCAGCTGCTTGCAAAGGCACTTGGATCCCAACCATCTCATAACCTTTAATAGTACTGGTTCTGCTGGCCTTGGAGTTTCTTCATCATTTTGTGAGCCATGCTCTTTTCATCAAATAAACCTCTGATCATGACAACCTAGAACAGAAAAAAAGTTCAACATGCTTAACATACACGTATACTTACTTGACGTTTTAATGCTTGTTTCTCACTGTGACAACCACTCCTAGCTTTTTTGTTACAACCTCCACTCACCCCCATTGCCCACATCCCTTACCAGAAAATGTGGGTGAGTTTGTAATGCAGCAGAATTACCTATCTCATGTTAATTACATAATATATCGATTCGTTGTCAAAAGAAATTTCATTATACACGAGTATATATCTATAAATTGTGCACAGTCAAACCAGTTAAATAGATAATAAGAATGTATTAATTAAGAATAGTTCACTTAACACATTGTGAAGGCTAGGTTTAGCTTGATTAGAATAGGCTTATCTTAGTAGGCTAGGTTTATCTTGCTAGCAAAAAGGATATTAGGCTATATTAAAAACCCTGTGCCAAAACAGTATGCCAAATTATTAATAAAAGCTCATTTACACTGTCAGGGAAATTAGACTAATGCATTTACATTGTAGTAAAGAAATCAACATGGCACAAACCAAAGATTGGATTGGCCTAAAAATCATGATCTATATATACATGGCTTTACATCAGAATGCAATATACACAATGTTACAAGTGGATGACGATTCGCCAGAGCAAGCTCGCCAAACTCAGTGATCACGTGACATACACTCAGCATAGTGAGAATGCATATATAAGCATCTCCACACACTCTGCATACTATACAACTCTGGCAATGCACACCTGCACAATGCCTGTCGATATCAGGATACAGATGAAGACAATTGACCAGGTGTTGACTCGCGTGTAGTTGGTCTCCATCACGTTCCTATCCTTTGCCTCGTGGGCTTTCCGTAGAGTCTGTAACTGTATGGACTTTGCTAGATTGCTCTTGACTTCTGCAAGAGCACCCTGATAAAGAAATATCAATAAAATTTAATGAAAATGTTTGCATACATATGCCAAATTATTTATCCAATGGGAAATGCTTCATGTATTGTACACTGTGATACAGTTACTTAAGCTAAATATAGCATAAATATGGACCCACAAAGTAATAAATATTATAGCAACACTCTTGCAACAGTTATCTGTTATATACTGGTTATACAGTCAAGTTTTTGGATTCATATACTTGCTATAATCCAAGGGTTTAGCATGATGCATGTAATAAACATTATATGACTTCAAATATAAAACACGTTAATAGGCTTTTCCAAGCAATATTTTTGTATAATAAAGAACTAGAAATGGTAGTTGTCGCCTACTACATGTATCCCCCGCGATCTAGTATGAATGAAATATCTCTGTAAGGATGTACAAGGTAGGTAAAGTGAAATAAGTCACAAAGACGTTACACAACTCATCTGCCGCAGATGTGCAAGTATGTCAAATTTGGTTACCGTAGGGGGCTGACGAGGAAAACTATGTTGATTAGGGTTAAACTAAAAGTCAGAGAGATTATCTTCATGTCCAGATTAAAGGTCAAAGACATGTGCCAATGCGCACTTTCTCTCTCAGACATGTAAGTATACCAAGTGTGGTTGCGCTATGTGAATTAGGGGCCGAGTTATAGAGCGATAATCAAAAAGAAAAAAAAGAATAGTAATATAGCTGACACTCTGACTGACCTTCATGTTATCAATGCTAATGCCTAGCGTCTCTTCATCCCTGACAAACTTCATCCACTCTTCATCATCGTCATCATCATCATCGACCCCATCTGCATTCTCTACCGAGAGCTCGAAATATACAAGTTTGATTGAAAATCTACTGAAGGTGTTGTCAAAGCAGAACTTGTAGTCACCATCTTCTGATGCTGTCACCCTGAACAAAAGAAAGCAAGAAATGCTTTCAAACTAAATAATAAGAAATAGTAATGATGATATAGTAGTAGTATTGTAGTACATAGTAGGGCTGTAACGATACACAAGCCTCTCGATTCGATCCGGTTCTCTATATTAGCCTCTCGATTCGATTCCTTTGATTCAATTCCCAAAATATTGAAATGTTATCTTATTTTTTATATTTTCATTATTTTGCAATAATAAATTATTAGAAATTGCCAATGAATACTAAATGGTGAATAGACTAGAGAGTCTAGAGAGTATACTATACACTGCACAGACGCTGAGTAACATTGGTAAGTAACACTCCACAGTATATAGCGTAGTGCCGCCATCTATTGGAGGAAAAAAGTGGTATCAAAGTGGAACCGAAAATACGAGGAAAATATCGAGGATCGGATCGAGGAAAGAGAATCGCGATCCGATTCGATTTCGGTGGATTGTTACAGCCCTAGTACATAGTAAAGATCATAGGGTCTATGTTCCCCAGGGTACTGCCGGGACGTACCCTGGTCACTATTTGATATGGTTAGGGTTAGGGTTAGGGTTAGGGAGTAGGCGGCTCCCTAGACTCGTTAGTGGAGTAGGCGAGATACGGTCCGGCTTATTAGATAGTACCAGGGTACGTTCTGGTATACCGGACCGTACCCAGGGTACGTTCCGGCAGTACCCTGGGGGACATAGACCCTCTCAGCCATAGTAAAGTGTGTGTACCCGTTCGTTCTGATTTTCCTGAACACATTTTCTACTCAAAAAGTAACATGCTCAACTGAAATGAATAAAATTTATGTAATATAGGCCTATTTATAGTGAATTGACAAAATGTTGGGCGGCTTAACTTCCATATATGTGTAATGTACCACTGTTGAAATTACTTTGGACGAACACCTGCACTGTTAATGATATGCGGTATTCCTGCAAATAGTCGCCATTGCAACCAGTTTAATCCAGGCACATTTTACTTGTTTCATGGGCAGTTCACAATGACCTCAGCTTCTACAGGTAGGTATATAATAATAAATAAGGCAAAAAATAAGCACAAATGTCAACCAACTTTATATGATATTCGGCCTCCAGGTAACCCGAAGGACTAAAACCTGATAACGATATATAATACTAATAATTAGTGTTGTCAATCGGTTGTAATTTCGTAATCGATCATCGGTTGGACCCAAGTAACCGATGATCGGTTACAATCGGTTACTCGGGGTGTTGAATGCCTGCGTGTGCGTAACGTCGTTTGCATGCACGTGTGTGCATGTAATTGTATGTGCTTGTTTAGCCAGCGTATAAAATCCCTAGTGTGTCCTAGGCTTTAGCCCCTCAACAGGAAATAGCAATGATATCTCTGATTCTCATCACTTTTCCAAGTTTTCTTGTTCAAGTTTTACATTTTCATTTACTTCGATTTTTGTTTCTTTTTTCGATGAAATCGATTATGGATTTTGATAACCAAGCGCTTGGTTGGAGCCACTGTTCAACCGATGATCGAGTATAATCGATGATCGTGACATCACTAAGCGCTTGGTTCGAGCCACTGTTCAACCGATGATCGAGTATAATCGATGATCGTGACATCACTACTAATAATAGTATTACAACTTTTATCCATAACATTTACCTGTGGGTATTTTCTGATTTTCGAATATCTGTGATAATGGCATAGCCAGTTGGTGACTGCGTAATAAAGGTTATGTCTAAATCTCCTCCATCGATGACCTGTATATAAAAATATACAATACTTCAGATGCTTGTACACATTTCACACCTCTATGAATTAAAGATATATATAGTAATGGTACCAATTTACCAAACCTGCAAAATAATATCATCATGATTATCAAATAGGGTTCCTAAACTCACCAGCTGCTAATGACTGTATTTGAGTGACACACACAATTACGCTCATTAGCCAAACAATAGGGAGTTATACATATAGGAGCATGGTTAGGGAGTTTTGGATGATAACCAGGTACTTGCTCCTATTTACATTTTGGCGCAGTGGCAGTTTTCCGCAGGAATTCACAAGATATCTCTGACTCTGGGTAAAGTAGGCAGTACCAGTAAGAAAAGTTATAATTTGATACCAAAATGGAGTCAGTTGGTTGTGTATTTGCGCCGTGCTTGTGTGAAATAAAGCGAGCGTCATGCAAGTTTTCAGGGTTCAACATTAACTTTTTATTTCACTAGACCATCGGGCTATAGTAACTGAGGAAAACCACTAGCCCTGACCTAACTTTCACTAGCCCAGACCCAGACCATTGTTATGAAAAACTTTATTTAGATAAGAGTGTGTCATCGTATGAATTCATAGATGCTGTTTCCCACGCTTTAAATCGCGCGTGGGCCGAGTTCTCGTGCAGCATTCGTATTCCACCACAGGCATACACCGGCGCACGGTTTATCGATCGTCTACTGCGGCTGGTAGCAAGCCACGTTATTGTTTTTGCCGAAGGGTATCTGGCCTCACACTCTGCTAGACAATGTACACGCTCTGCGACAAACAGTGCGGCCGCGAACCAGACTAGCCAGAGATGACCTTTCAGTGCACCCTGGGTTGCACGCTAGGTTAATGGGCTAGACACTGACAGGTATTGTTTTAACTTTAAAGCACGAACACCGTAATAAAGATTCGATGTTTTGCCTTGCACTGACATTGTGGAAATTGTGCATTTTGTAATTACAAATGTGAATTATAAAGCAGAAAGGTGTGAAATGATGTCATGTAACTATGTGCGAGTACTATATCACCAATTCTAACATGACCAGTCGGGCTACTAGCACTCTGGTTGTATGCGACCGGACCAAGCATTTACCCGACTAGGTCGGTCGGACGTGGGTTAGTGTCGAACCCTGGTTTTTCAGTCGCGCTTCCCCACATGCACTATAATTTTGTTGTAACTTGCTTGTACACAGTCACCGAGTCAGTGCCAGGGTGTGTGTGAGGTGTACTACTACTTTTGTGTTGCAGAGAAGCACTTAACAGCAGTTACAGTTATTACTCAGTGTTTACCCTGGCCAAATAGGTCTGTGAGGTGGTAATTCTGTGTGTGTGTGTAAACTTGCGCATTTCGAGGTCCTACCCAGCTAGGGGGTCCAGCAAATGTTTGAAAAAAAAAGTACAATGTGGTGCTTTCTAAGCTATTTTGGTGCATTATAAGCACTGTTCTATGGAAGAACAGTGATTTTCCTCAGCGAGGCAGTGTTTTGGACAAATATCTGTGAGGTGGCTGAAAATTTGAGTGAGGCGGCACCTCACTCGTGTCAATGCAGGGGAAACGCTGCTAGTGTTAGGCTAGCTCTAGTACTATAGCCCGCGTACAGTTGCCGCAGGGCTATAGAACATTTTATGCCAAGTTTCATAACTGCACCTGTCCCCCAATGCTTCCACGAAAAATGGCTCACAAAACGCAAAATTATCGGGCTTTTTAACACTCATTTATCTACATGGACATCTCACCTATCTTTTTGAACACTTTCCACAACTTTACACCATGTATTTATGCATTTATTCCTCAAAGTACTAGCACTACTTGCGTTTCGTTTTCAAATGTTGTTATGTACACGCGTGACGTCACCCGAAATGTAGACAAAACACATGGGCAGCTATGATGCAGCCATTTCGTGTTTTAATAATAACAAAAACAAGCGAAAGAGAGTAGCCCCTCCCCCTCCCCCTCCCCCTCCCCTCCCTCCTCTCTCCTCCCTCCCTCTCCCCTGCCCCTGTTTCAATTTCATCCTGGGTAGAACCCTGCAGGGGTTTCTCCACACAAAAGGATAGGGATGATTGTAACCCTATCCTGTGTTTGGGTTACATTATTGTATCTACCGTACTCAGTGCAACCGTAGCCGGACTCGTACTCATAGAAAACTAGAACTTATTCATTGATTGATTTCGATTTTGACATCACACAGTCACATTCACATGCACTTGGAACTTTTCAATAATAAAATGATGGTAAATAAACAGGACATGTATTTATAATTTAGTAATTTACTACCAAAGTCTTAATAACTATACCTATAATAATGTTTCTAAACTAGATGGGTCCGGGGCCTGGTCGAATCACTGGCAGCAAGAACAAGTCTGCACCTGCAGCTACAACACACACGCATCTATTGACTATATATATAACAACATTATATATAGTTATATATAACTACTATAACAACTATAGCTACTATAGCTACTATAACAACTATAGCTACTATAGCTACTATAACAAATATAGCTACTATAGCTACTATAACAACTATAGCTACTATAGCTACTATAACAACTATATATAACATTGTTATATATAGTCAATAGATGCGTTTTTCAATCGAGGCGGAAATAATTTAAACGTGGCGCAACGATTGAAACGGGGGGGAAAACTCCCCCCCCGCCCCGTTTTTCTCCCTACGTTGCGCAAACCGGGCGCGCCCGCCTGACAAGGTGCCAGTTACTCTAGCATTTGTCAACATTGCATAATCAATGGGCCTAGTATGCCTTTAACATTGGAACTAGTGTAAGTCTTCTTTGTTTTGATATTATTGACAGTAAATTCTGTAACATGCGTGTTGTTATGTATCATCGTCCATGTTTCTCCTGTCCCCGGCCTGCCTAGCCTGGCTACTAACGGAACCCCTATGGGACGAGAAGTGACTTCCCCCTAGAGCTTGCTCACCAGGTCCCTGTTACACGTAGGGTTGGGAACAGAAGGGTTAGTTGATTAGGCGAGGGATGGACGTCATGCCCTGCGTGCCCACGACACTACACAATTATGATGGACAGACACATATATATCACATATTATCATTATCATTAACAGGGACTTTATTCGCACATGCACCGACAAACAGACAATTCACGCCCAGTGCCCTGTCACGTGTAGGCGCACATTCCGGAATACATGTTACTGTCAGTCAGCAGTTATCTGTTCCGTGCATGCAGTTTCCGTTTATACTGGCTTACCCCTTGGGCCCATACCAAACACCCAAGCCCTCACAGCTGATCACGTGCCCGCATGCTACTAACACGTGCACAGTGAGCCTGAAAGGCCATGTATGCCAATTGCACAGCCACTAACAACAGACAGAATTATGCTGGGCAGAACAGCCATCCAGGGGCAAGTTTTCAGAAACAAAATCTGGCTTAGCATTGGTCGTAATGTTAACAGTTTCTTATATACCATTGAGAGAAACATAGCAAGCTTTTCACGAGTTTCTGATATGCTGTGTGTAGAGGTCCGGTCTACAAGGAAAAGTTATGAAGATAGAATATAATATAGAATATAAAAGATAGAAAGAAATAGTTAAAACTAATGATAAGTCAAATTTTGTTTCTGACAACGGAGTCCCAGATTCTGGTGCCCACCCTTGCATACCGTGCTTTTACTGCAGTTGCTGGGGGAGCCACCAGCTGCACGCCAGCATATCTATGCTCCCTGTAATGCATATTCTATCTACACGGAAGTGCGAAATTTCACGTTCGCGCTGACTGTGCCACGGCTTACTCTCCGCCACCATCAACCTACAATGCGTACTCACCTGGTCTGGCAACTCCTCGCATTGGGACCAGTATTGACTTCTACTTGATCCTACGTGATCACACAAACGGCAGCTACCACTGCAGCAACCTCCCTCTCGCTTTCCTTTACCCGACCACGATAACTGCCTACTCACCAGATTCTTTGCCCACTCACTCACACACCCAAAGAAACGTGTCCGCCGCCTTTCTCGCTCGAGATTAACGTAGAAGAAAGGCCCCGTGTGATTTGCATGCAGGAATGGCACCTTGTTGCATATGTAACGTAGGCTTAATGAGCTCGCGACCTCTTGAGGTATAACCCTGGACCCCAGCCTTCTTCACACACCCAGTGTCTGCTACACATCAGTAGCTGCCTAATCCTAGTACTATAGTAGGAATATAGTAATATAGGCATTATAGCACTATAGCATTATACATCGGGCATATATTATAGTAATATAGTACTATGTATGAACCTGAACATCTGTATTAATAGTAAGATTAATAATTCATTATTTATGTTTTGCAGATTAGCTAAAGAGCCACTATCAAATTACCACATTACTGCTAAGTTTTTTAGCACACAGGTATGCTTAATATTTATAGGTGGTGGTGTTCACCTATGCAATGTTTTGACAGATCGGTATTTATTCAGGGCCCATCAGGAGAATAGTTCTGTGCACTGTCAGAATGTCTTTGGCAAAAACTGACCAAATAAATTTGCAAATGAATGCATAAATTTTATAGACTTATATTGATATGAAAAGGATAGAGTGGTAGGTAAGTGTCAATGTACTTAAGTGTACTTGTTCATGTGTTTTGAGTTGGGCGCATTGCTAACCATGCAAACTGCTTCCTCCACAGGTGGTTTTAGTCCTCAGCAATGTACAAGGGATGATTCTGATACTGCTAGCTGGCAACAACGTCATCAAGTGCATTGCACCCCTCGTCACAGAAACACGTGGAATAGGTAAAGTGCATTACACAGACTCTCCACACTACAGTCACATACTCGTGCCACAGTTGGTACGTCCTGTAAATCATCTGCATAATCCATTTTGACTTCACAGCATACCAGTTGCACCATTTCGAGCAGCACAAGCTTATAATCGTGGTTGAGCCCGTTACGAGGTATATCCACAATAGGAATCGTACGAGCATTTATGTGAGCATAGTCTAGGCCACACGCCCCTGTATCGAAAGGATTCAATCATTTACAATATAGTTTGCTTATAGTAGGCCTACAGTTAGAAGTGGGGTGTCCTGATTTAGTCCTCAAAACTGCTGGAACTAATAATATTTGACATAATCTAGTACAAATATACCAGTTAATGTTGCTAATCAGCATTCAGTGCTGTGTGACACCCCACTAATCAGAGCCTAGTAATGCTCAATTGGTCGTTGTCGTATCAGGTACTACAGATATGTACCCGAGGTACATATATGCATACACAAAGTGTACCNATTTATGTGTCAGTGTACGCGCAATGGCGGCGGCGTGTGTTTACAGTTGATACGCTTCAAGTGCCTGTGGATGTTATGGGGATTGGGTAGAGCAGGTTAAACATTACTTGGAATCAGCCTGGAAGCTTCGGAACAAAATCTCCCGGTAAAGTGAAATTACCGGTGGGAAACTCAAAAATAAAAAAGGGAAATACCGATCTAAAGGTTCCCGTTCATACATACATACATACATACATACATACATACATACTAGTACTAGTAGTAGTAGGCCCCTACTAGCCACAAGTCACAACGGCACAAGTTCCCTTCTCGCTTAACGCTACGGACGTGGATATTCGTCCGAGCATCGAACACCTGTTCGTATGCGCTTATTCGTTCGAGCAGTTGTTGCGCATGCGCTGTTCATGTTGTATTACGTAAATGTAATATAATGCTAGTCTAGGGAGGTGCCTACTCCCTAACCCTAACCCTAATCCTAACACCAGCCCTAACCCTAACACTAACTATAAACCGACTCGGTTCTGTTATTATATGCTCGGTTTCGTATATATATATACGCGAGTGATAGTACCAAACACTATCTATGGTGTATAACCACATACACAACGCATGTATGCAGGGGCATCACAGCCGTAGGGCTGCCGTAGCAAAACGCTACGGGCCCCCAGCCTAAAGCCAAGGGCATAAAATAATCAAAAATCTAAAGGGTAAATAACATTTTAGAGCATCTAGATTTAAGTATTGTCTGGAGAACCCCCCAGACCCCCCCTTTCAGGCCTTCACACTTCCTACCTACGGCACTCGTGTCGTGCGCCTGCGGCATGCAACATGAACAGCGCATGCGCAACAACTGCTCGGACGAATAGCGCATACGAACAGGTGTCCGATGCTCGGACGAATATCCACGTCGTAACACTACGTAGTACGCATGCCAGTGTGTATAATTTTACATAACATGGTTCATAACACGGCTAGTGCGCAGAGCGGAACGATCGCTGCATAGCGGCAAAAGTAAACGCTGGGAAACATTCGACCCGAACTTTTCACTTTGTAGTCTAAAAGCTTCGAATGAACGTATTTTACGAGCAATTTTTTTTACCTATAACATATATATAGGCAAGTACAAACGTGCAATTTTAAAATAATTCATTTTGCCTGATTTTATGTTTGCTGCTTGAAAGTTTGAGGGAAGCTACCTTTAACTTATCACTGTCCATTTGGACAAGTAGGAACAAATCAACTGATTAGTTAGATTCTTTCTCATTTCTGCAAGTTGGTGTAACTTTTTCTTAAATAAATTAAACCACCAATTGGCAATTATAATACTACTTACTAGTATTCGTTATTGTGCATGTTCATGATGTTGATCAATTACAATGATGCAGCCATGTGTTTTTGTTGCTTATGCTATGAGATAGATGGACTCCATTTGTTTTGCAAAATTCATGGAATACCAGAATTTATTGTATTGTATCCTCTAGATAATTAATTTCCACAATTAATTCTGAATAAGATTGGCATAACAATCGCTTTTGTTTACAATGTGGAGATTCACACAAAAATGGTCCAGAAGCCCTGTGTGAAAAAAATACATAATTCTAAACTCCCACAATTTCTGAGGCACTATCAGATTACAAAGTCTAGTAGTTGATATGACTACCACAGAAAGAAGGTTAATTTTGCACCCTGGTTATGGCTCCCACACCATGAACAGTCATCCATGATTGAGCTTGTACATATTCAGTTTGGTTTAGACTCATTCTAGACTGGGATGCAAAGCAACATAAATTTAGTTGCAGTCCAGGTCATTTTGTTACAACTTACATGCATGCTCGTTACTAAATTGCTCCGGATCTAAGATTAGTTTTTATTCAAACTATAGACTGGTACCACTGTATGCATTTACGTGCAAGCAGTGAGTTAAAAATCAGTTAAAAAGAGCTTTGAATAGCTGGCTTTGAAACACCACATTGTTCACAGAGAAAACAAATGCATACATACAATTTTGATAAGGTGTATCAGGGTTCTCCCCAGATATTTTTAAAGGCATGTTTATGGCCTAGCAATTTGTGCAAAGGACAAGTACTTTCCTTGAGTTGGGTAGATTGCAAACAGGTTTGACTAGTATCATCCATTGGCATAGCGGCCACTGTTGAATTCATAAGAAGCCATACCACTAAACAAGTGCCGATTGTAGTCGTTGAGTATAGTTCTGGTATATCGGAGAGGTTGCTGTTTCGGAGCAGATGACAGGAGAGTATGCTGTACAATTGGAGACTGTAAAGTGCTGGCCCGAGGTGGTTTTTCATCTCATTAATAGAACTCTGGCAAATTCCTATATATGTTATAAAAACAATCCTAATTCCCCTATACCACACAGTAAGCAAAACACACATTTAGAAGTTATGTTTAGCCTCGGTGAGAACCTCATCGGTAGTTATGTGGAACCCAAAAGAAAGGTTGCGAGGGCAAGACCTACCAGCCACGTTCTAGAAAATCTTCCAGGAAAAAAAAGAAAAAATGTGTTGTTAGTGCGAGACTGTTGGATTCAAGGACAGTCATACTATCAGTATTGTGCAAAGACTGTAGTGCGGGTTTGTGTAGTGGCTGTTTTCGAAAATACCACAATTGAAGTGTAAACATGAGTGAAAAAATGCTATAGATATGTGACAGTCTTTTCTTTAAAATAATAAATCATTGTCATTGCTATTATTTACTCTATATGGTCTTTATTTATGGTTTGCAATATCATGGTAAATTTTCAAAATAAATTTGTACAGCATACAAATTTTTTATTTTATTTATACCCCTGAAATGGTTTGGTCTAAAAAGCGATGAGCCTAAACTGTGTTAAACTAGAATGAACTAGCAGCTAACTGTCAATTCAAACAACCATCTTCCTACACTGACAGTGAATTATTCAAAGCATAATCAACCACTGTCAGTGCCAAAAAATTAATAAACAATGGAGTTCAAAGGTCACTATGCATTGAATGAAGCATGTCGTTTCTACATTTCTTTACTGTTCACGACATGTAATTCACGTCTTTCATACACGTGCATTGTTGATCATATAGATCCCAGCCATGTCGGGCCGGGTAAAGAGAAAGTCATTGAAGGCATTAGCGGCAGAGGGCCACGAGGAGTTCTTCCCATCAGCTGTCTCTGCCCTGAAGCGAAAGCAACGTCTGGAAGATTCAGTGGTTCCTTTAGGACCAGGTACAAGTTATACCTGGCTATCCAAACTAAATCTTCTGTGCAGTAATCACATTTGTTCGCATTTATAACTAACTAGATTTGATCTGGTAACAAGAAAATCTAACAAGCGATATAGATACATGACGGTGAGGTAGATGCAACACGTGATCTATGTAAGATGTATAATGCCTTCTAGCTCCGGACAACAGCATCAAGGAGGTTGGTGCTAACATCAGCAGCCCTGTACCACAGAAGCCAGCTGACCCACCAAAGCAAATTCGCACCTGTGGAAAGGCTGGCTGCGCTGCAGAGATTCCAATATGCTTCGTTGGAGCTAGTGACAGGTGCTGCTAAAATGCATACATTTTGAATGACCTACAAATAGAATGTACAGCATCAAATTTCAATACTGCACATGCTTATGTTCCAACAAACTGACAAACCTGTGTACAAAAGACACAATCTAACAACCGTCAGTGCTACACTGGTATGGGCGATGGCCCATAATTTATCCAAGATTCTAATTTTATACATCTGCTAACCTAGACTGGTCTCATCCTTAAATCGTATTGTATTTTATGTAATGTTATGTAATCGTATTATTTGTACTAATGTAATGTATTAATACGTAATATGTGTATTCTGAGCTGTCTTATGTGCTATCTATGCACCTATGAAGGAGAACTATGTGCATTCTGATGCTCTGTTTTGCACGTGATTGCATTTTCTCGCATTTTGTAGATGTGCGGGCATGAGTTACACATCACGATGGTATCACCTCACCTCTGGTGAACATTTCTGCAATGATTGCTTCGACCATTTCTACAGAAAGTACGTGATATTAGAATGTTGCGTGCTCTCGTTATTTACTGCGTACCGGGTGATGTCATAAAAATGTGGTTTTATATTTCAGGCTCATGTTTTCTGGTTTGTTAATATAGAAGTATTAATTTGTCATCGAGTGAAATAGGAAGCAGTGTTGCATGGTTGGGTGCCATGTAATGGCCACAATTCTAATGGGAATGATTACAAATTAATATCAATTGGAGGCACTGTTGTGAGGGAGAAAGCTAGGTCTTTGTTATACTTTTATCATTATTTGTTATTCTTCTAATTTTTTATTGCTTAACTAGAGTGTCCTTATGTTTCAGTACAAAGCCAGGGTTCCAAGCTTACTGCCACTGGAGAGATGAGTGGGCAGCAAATGGAAAAACCGAACCTACTTTAAAATTATACATGCAAGATCAGGTATGTCAAACTACTCTTCAGATCTATAATGCTAGCCGCACACTATTCGATTTTGCACTGTGCACAGCACTGTGCCCCAGCACACTATACGTCCCGCTCCCGATCGATAGGGAGGCCGCTGCATACTGTCCGACTCAAAGTTGGCGCAAACCATGGCACTCTCGTGGCGTTCCAAGCGGATTTAGCGTGTACTAAGGGTCGGGAGTGTTTTTCCGCCATGTTTACCGAATGCAGTTCCCATGGCGCTGCTCTGTGATTAGTCAATTTTCTTCAGCGCTCGCCGATCGGGTCGGATGGCCACGCACACTATCCGAGTCGCGTCGTAACCCATCGCACACCATCCGCTCCCGATTCAAAATTCGAATTGGGCCAAAATGGCCTCCCGAGCCAAACTTAAGCCTCCCGAGCCAAACTTACGCCTCCCGATCCAATTGTAAGCCTCCCGATCGCGCTCAAATCAGATAGTGTGCGGCTAGCATAAACCTGACATGTGTAACCGTAGGCATGCACAGGTGTTTCTAGCAGTTGCCTGACAATTTCTCCTCTATGCATCTAATTGCTATAAATTGAATGACATTGTCTAATGATATTAATTCATAGTTGTTTTATGTTGTGACTAGTTGATATTTTATTACTTCTCGTACATCCAGGTAAATATAGCATAAATTGTATGTGCATACAAGAAAACTCCCTGTGTTCTACTGGGAGGTACTGTAAGGTGGCTTCTGTGTATATATTTTCAGCATTTACCATATTGGGTGCAGTGTACAAAACCAGACTGTACCAAGTGGCGGCAGCTCTCCAGAGAAGTAGAGATTACAGTCGAATTCATTCAGTCATACTATTGTGGGAAGAAAATAAATGGAAAGGTAGACCAAGCTTGTTTATCCCAGCATAGCACGTACAGATGTTTACACCTAGAAATTGCACTCCAAAATTTGTCATATATCCAGAGATCACAGACCATGTGCAATAAGTCAGGACAGTCATCTTATATATATCCTGCACATGACAATAGCACCACGCAACTACCAGCAGCAAGCTTTCAACATAGATAATCTCTTTATTGGATTATCCAATAGAGAATTGGACATTGAACACAATAATGGACATTTTTGCTTGTGCGTCCTTTCTAATTGTACACTATTGTATTTTGGCACACTAAAACTGTTTCCCTAACAATTGTGAAACTGCTGAACAATGAAACAAACATATCTACCACAGAAAGGACTTCCATAAATTCATTGCTGATTTTCAACAAAACGGACAATAACGTATATATTATCCTCCTGTCCCGTTGTCCACCCTCAAATTACCGGTCAGCTTAGGTTTGAATACACATATTACTGTGTATCGTGTCTGTAACCTCCCTCTACTCACATATTTGTCATCACCCTCCTGCCTCCCCGTGTACGTATCCTTCTCCTTCCACAGCCACCCTCCCCGCAGGGCATTCATCCTTCCCCTCGCACAGCCGCCCTTCCCCTCTCCAACAACCCCTCTGACTCCCCCGTGCACTCATCCTTCCCCTCCCCATCAACCCCTCTCCTTCTCCTTCTCCATCTCCTCATCTCTCCTCGCCATGCATCCATCATACCCGCTCTCCTCCCCTCCCGACTCCCCCGCGTCTCAACCCTCCCGCCTTGCCGCCTGTGACGCTCGCTGATCTCGCGTTTTTGCGCAGAAGGAGAATCCGGACGCGTGCTCGGTGTCGGAGGACCACCGCGTCGCGCAGGTCTACGACCCGTACTGGATGCACGCCGTCGTGCAGCCGCCGCTGCTCAAGCACTCGCCCGCAGCCGAGTTCCTCGTCTCCTACTATCCGGACGGCGTCGGCATGAGCGCCACCGGCAGCGTGGTGCCTGTCACGAGCCGCATAGGTACGGCCAAACCCCCTCTCTCTCTCTCTCTCTTTCTCTCTCTCTCTCTCTCTCTCTCTCTCTCTCTCTCTCTCTCTCCTTCTTTCCCCCTCTCTCTCTCTCTCTCTCTCTCTCTCTTCTCTCTCTCTCTCTCTCTGTCTCTCTGTCTCTCTCTCTCTGTCTCTCTCTCTGTCTGTCTCTCTCTTTCTCTCTCTCTCTCTCGCTTCTCTTCTCTCTCTCTCTGTCTCTTCTCTCTCTCTCTGTCTCTCTTCTCGCTTCTTGCTCTCTCTCTCTCTCTCTCTCTTCTCTCTCTCTTCTCTCTCTCTTTCTCTCTCTCTCTTTCTCTCTCGCTGTCTAGCGTCTTTCGTCTGTTGCTTCTCGCCTACCTGTCTCTCTCACTAACTCCCACTTATTCTTTTCTCCCCCCCTCCCCTTTTCGTTCCTCCCTCCCGCCCCCTCTAACTCCCTTTCCTCATCCCTCCCCGCTTCGTCTTCTCACACAGTTAGATGAGTATAGCATATTGAAGAGTTCAGCCTGGTTGCCGTCATTGAGCACTACATAGGTAGGGCTCTCCTCTCTCTCTCTCTCTCTCTCTCTCTCTCTCTCCTACTTGTTTTCTTGCACTATTACCAATGAGTACAACAGGGGAGCAGGTGGGTGGGTACTAGAAGTCACAGGGGTAGGGCATTCCCGTTTGCTTGCTGATGATGGTGCAAGTGATGATGTGGTCGTTTTCGTAGAGTATGCATGGTTTTGTGGCAGTGTCGCCCAACATTAGGCACCCATTAAATTTCAGTGTGCACGTCAGACTTTTACAAATGTTTACCCTGCTAGCTTTTCATGTCACTTGACTTTAATATTACCAGACTGTCATAAGTAAGTATTAGATGAGATTGAGGGCTTTATATTGTCTGGGCAACTTTCTGTCGTAAGCCACTTAGTATGTTACCGTACCATTTTTATTTGCACCCAAGTTATTCCATTTTGAATGTTTGTTTTTTCGTTTAGGCTAGCCCATAGATTTCTAGCTATAATAAAGCACTTAGAGTGATAGAGAGACAGAGAGAAAGAGAGAGAGAGAGAGAGAGAGAGAGAGAGAGAGAGTGAGAGAGATAGAGACAGAGAGATAGAGAGAGAGAGACAGAGAGAGAGCGAGAGTATGTATGAAAGAGGCATAGTGTCTACACTCTTACACTCCTGAAAACCTATCATAGGCTATAGGCTCAGTACTTATGATCAGTGGCATGCTTACTACTGTAACTGATTCACATGGCTTCTATTTGGTATTGCAGATGGTTCCTCCATTGCTCCAGAAGATCTGTGGAAGATGTATCACCCTGGAGGTAAGTCTATCTTGTTGACTAATGGTGTAGAACCATATGTTTATACTGATGCTTCCCCTTGTGTTTTTCTTTTCAAAATTGATATTGATGTACCCTACCCATACTACTGCGTTATATATTCCCACAGATGTGAACAAAAACTTTCAGCCATTCTATCAGCCAGGGGAACAAGGCAAAGCCCTGTCGGTCCGGCCAGACATAATGGAATATGATGAAGTACATGAATTCCCAGAATATGTGAGGTATGAGCAGTAAATTCACCTTATTAAATTAAAGCAATAGAAATTTATATCTGAAATATTTCATTTTAATCGAATCATAAGTATGCTAACATTAAAAATGTCATTATTTAATTTAGTTCTGGTGTTATAGAATAAAGTGTTTAAAGCTTGATGACTGTGTAGCTACCTAGTAATGGCTACTTCTATGGTATGACCATAAACCTTGCTTTTTTTCATATCTAGAGAGCAAGCAATGTATCTTGGAATCAGAAATCTTGTAGTATCGCTATGGTATAGAAACTGTAAGGTATGTACCTTGGCTGCAAACCTCGTTGTTGAGTACACTCTTATATGTATCTGTTCATATTCTTTTTAGTACTATGCTTTCTTTCTTGCGTTAAATAGAAACGAAGCTAAACTCTGGTATTCACTGGCCTTATAATTAGCTTCTCTTTTGTGTTAGCAACAGTCAAACGATGGTTTTGTGTACACTTGTAAAAGTAAAATGAAGGCTTGGTGTACCCTTGCCTTATAATTGGCACTCTCTCATGTTCACCACAGAGTCAACAACTGACCTTTCTTTATCATGTTATGGAAAAATTGAAATGAGGGTTTGGCATACATTAGCCATATTATTACTATATTCCCTCTCATGCAAATGTAAGCGGGAATTAAAGTTTAAAAAAAGTATAAATTCGGATGATGGGCTTTGTGTGTTTGGTGTGTGTGCGCCAGCCTCGCACGAACACCTGCCCGCACGCAGCAAGTCGTTGACGTCCTCTCGTCTCCCCGCAGGAGTGGTTGACGCCGCGGCGGTGCGCTGAGCACCTCATCTGCCGCGGCCTAGTGCGTCTGCTCTGCGTCGAGGAGCTGAAACGTGTGCTCGAGTTTCTCACGCGCAAGGGCATCGTCAATATCGGCCTGCTGAGTCCGCCGCAGGACTGCGCGGCCATCCCTCGCCAGTACAGCAACGTGAGTAGCATACACATATACTGTAAACTGCAGGATGCGGTAGATATCGTGGGTCTAGGGCCTGTTGTCAGAAACGTCACATCAAAGTAAGATGGTGTGAATGCGATATGTTAGACTTGTGACAGTCGTGACACTATTTCTAATGTTACTGACAACGCACTCCTGATGCCCCAAACTTACACACTTATTTCAACTGGCACATCTACACTTCACATTGTAGTGATGATGAGGAGCTCGTAAGTCATGTTGTATATGATTATATATAGTTATTAAAGGCATACTAGGCCCATTGATTATGCAATGTTGACGAATGCTAGAGTAACTTGCACCTTGTGTAGTTAATAAGTACATAACCTTATAGCCAAACGCATATTAGTTTGTACAATATCACTGCTGGTTACATTACAAACAAGACTTGAAATCGGTTGTTGATATGTATCAACGTATCATTTACTTGCCGTAAATGTCATCCAGGAGTCAAGTGATGACGTAAACATTTGTGCGGCCCGTATGTTTAGGACGCCAGATGAAATTGAGGTGTCAGCGGTGTAACCACGGCCACAAACTAAACATGGAAATGGAGTAAAACACGTACTAATCATGCTAATCACGGACGCACGTGGACAGCCCTGACAAAAAGTTCCTTATCACGAGCGTCTTTGTTTACGAAATCACTGATGATAGCATTGCGTACGGCCGAGCATGTGTGGGAAAATCTTCGGTGCACTATAAATCTGTATCACACCCGCTTGACGGCTTCGCCGGCAGCGGTTTGAAACTGTAACCATCTGATTTTTGGACTGCGGATTTCAATTCGACATTTCTTAGTAACCAGCAGTGATATTGGACAAACTAATTATACGTGTTTGGATGTAAGGTTATGTATTTATTAACTACACAAGGTGAGAGTTACTCTAGCATTCGTCAACATTGCATAATCAATGTAACAATCAAATCACAATCAAATAAACAATAAAGTACGATAGTAAAACGTGGAGTATTTGACTATGAGCTGGTGTTAATTTCAACCCCAGTGTTATGTGATTTGTGATTGTAAAATACCTGTGTGACACATAGTCCACTCTTTCCTTCTTATAATGGACAGTTTGGTGATAGTTTGTGTTGCCCATTGTGTCACCAGGAGAATGTCATTGTCATCGGTGCGGGGACAGCTGGATTGGCAGCGGCGAGGCAGCTGCAGAACTTTGGTGCTAAGGTGAGGTGCAAGTGTAGCGCGTAAATATTCCTAACTGTCATTTATCATTTTTTCGTGCAGTCATACGGGTAATCCTCGCTGAGTGCCATTGGCCTTTTACTTGTACATACATACTCGTAGTCGTTTCCATCTCGTGTTTCCTGATTGGGTCGTTATGCTAATAGCTTAGTCGAAAAATGCACCCGGCTAGTATCTGGAGAACTATCTACTCATGTCCCAGCTTGCCTCTATTGACAACTTGGAGTTGAGAATTGGTACAGTCATACTTTTGCATCCTATCTCCTCTGTGTTCATGGAAGTTTGACCAGCTAGAACCAAAGGATGTTAATAGATGAGATGAATCATAATAATCACCTGTTGGCTGACTGCATGCATGGCTGTACAGCTGTATGTGGCAAATTCTATCCTCAGTTTAGATAACTACATTCAAGACCATAGGCAGAGCACTGGGTCTTGGGGTTCGTTTTTAGCTCAGCTGACGAAGTCAGATGCAGCTTGTAGAATCACATGATTGTCCGTGCATCTGTGCGTCCGTCCGTCCGTCAACAGTTGGGCACAAATCTTAACCGCTCGACGTACGGTCTTGATATTCGGGACGGGGTGGGGGGGGGAAGGGGGAAGGTATAGGAGGAAATACGGAATTGCGGCACGAATCTCAATGGCTCAACCTATGCTCTTAATAATGCTCTTGTATAATATGCTTTGCTCTTAATATTCGATGTATAGTGTGATGGGGAGGAAACCCATCACCAGTGCGAAATTGGAGGTCACAGGTCAAAGGGCAGTGGGGGAAAGGTCAGATATCAGACATTTTCTGAGGACATGGTCTAACAGACCGAGTGCAAAACTTTTTTGTTTCAGCACTGACCTACCATTTCTATCACTTTATTGAAAGGGCCATCAAATGTACTTTCCGCTGACGTGCGAAGAGTAAGTGTCGGATAACCTTTTGACCCTCAAAAGGAGGGTTAAACATGGATTTGTTGACAATTAACAAAGGACTAAACCACAGGCACTTGGAACATCTCAATAAAAAATAATAATGGTAAATAAACACGAAATGTATTTACTACCAAAGTCTTAATGTTTCTCTATTCTATTTCGCCTATTATTGCTGATAATTACCCGTAAATGCCGGTCAAATGCTCCTCTGCAACACACAAGTACACTGCACGCCCGCCCTGTGCACAAACAACATGAATAAGAGAGCAGGTAGGAAAGCGTGATCGCAAAATTCGCTCGACGCTCGCTTCATTTCACACGACAACAGACCAAAAACACATCCAACAGCTTCCATCTTGGTATCTATTTGTAGCTAAATGTTCACTTGTTCGAATTATAACTCTGTCCTTTGTTCTTACCTACTCCTGCCAGAGATATCTCGTGAAATCCTGCAGGAATTGTTCTCTCCATGAAAATGTAAAGAGGACGAGATGTCTGTTTATACACGAGTAATGGGGCGCATTGCATGCCGGGATGAGCTGCTGCTTGTGCTGCCTCCGAGCCTCCGTTTCGAGGCCCGCCTAGCCAAGCATAATGAGCGCGGGCATGTCGTCACACACACGACTGCAGTGATCGATCAAAAGTAGCGCCGTTAGGGATTTTCGGATGATACGTCCTCTTTACATTTTCACGGAGAGAACATTTCCTGCAGGATTTCACGAGATATCTCTGGCGGGAGTAGGTAAGAACAAAGGACAGAGTTATGAACAAGTGTACATTTAGCTACACATAGATACCAAGATGGAAGCTGTTGGATGTGTTTTTGGTCTGTTGTCGTGTGAAATGAAGCGAGCGTCGAGCGAATTTTGCGATCACGCTTTCCTACCTGCTCTCTTATTCATGTAGTTTGTGCACAGGGCGGCGTGCGGTGTACTTGTGTGTTGAAGATGAGCATTTGACTGGCATTTACAGGTAATTATCGGCAATAATAGCGAAATAGAGTAGAGAAACATTAAGACTTTGGTAGTAAATACATTTCGTGTTTACATTTTTTTATTTTATTGAGCCGTTTCAAGTGCCTGTGGACTGAACTGCTTTTGCTATTGTGGATGTGAGGCTACAGTTGCACAGTTCAATTGCAAAGGCAAATGTTTGTTGAACAAGGTTTATGCTCCTTAAATCTTATTATTTTCTAAAGCAGTCTGTATTAGCACCCTGAGTAGCACCCTGTATTAGCACACTGTAATAGCACCCTGAATGATCGCGTGGGTAGGCAAAAACACGGGGGCAGCCCATTACGCATGCTTGGGGGTGAACTGGCATTATTCTAATCATAATTATTGCCTGGCAACCTGCAATGCAGATCTGTTAACTTACAGCTGAGCGAAATTCTCGCCTGCCTGAATATACTTGGATTTTAGCCGGTAGGATTTCAGCAACTCAATGGAGTGAAGTTATCACGCACGGAGGGCGATGCCATCTTTGATTATTGATGACACTTGCATGCGCCATCTCGCGGCAACTGCTTTTGCTAATAGAGCCCCCTCCACCCGCCCTCTCCCCCACCTTCCCCCCACCACCACAACTACGCTCGCGCTCGACGCATATCCATGATAACATGTTAATATAGCGAAGTCATTAAAGTTACACAGCTGTATCTTTATTACTGTACTACCGGTATAGAAAAGCCTAGCTATCATAGATTTTAGATCTGTATTAGTAGTATCCTAGATATATGCTCTGAGCGCGAACGCGGTGGCGGAAGGGCGCACTTGATTCGGTTGCCAGTGAGTTTATCAGAAGAATACCCGGCTACAGTACACGTCAGTTGAGCGCTGTCGCTCTGCGGCACTTGTTTAGACACGTCATAGTTATTTTAATTTCTGCCTCTAGCTAATTAGGTACGGACATGAAGAGACATTGCATTAGGGGACATTAAATTTCCTTAGTGAGATCCTTGTTGATGCATCATAGGTGACAGTGTTGGAGGCCAGGGACCGTATTGGAGGCCGAATCACCGATGACTCATCACTGGGTCTCACCGTGGGCCGCGGAGCACAGATCGTCAATGGCTGCGTGAACAACCCAGTCACGATAATGTGCGAACAGGTGCGTAGCTGCGTCCGCCGAGCACTCGCTCCCCGTACAGTGCATCTCCCCACGTCATGTCCCGTAAGCTTCGAATGCGTCGTGAGTTCCGGGTACTGACCGAGGCGATCCGTCTTCGATTTTTCCCTCGTCAATACAAGTTTAGTTGCTTAGTGAGACCTTGGGTAGAAACCCCACCACGGTGTGTAGAATTAAACTCAGCAGCAGTGTCTCATTGGTCAGTGGCTAGCTGTACTGCCAGTGTACTCCCCATATCAGACGGATACTTGGCAGTGGTGGTGACTATTTGGTGCAATTTCACTATTGCGATATTAATGGTGATAGCCAAATACTATTGCCGCTACTACAACGTTAACGATGCGCGTCGCTCCCCTCCAGGCGGGAGCACCGGTGAAGACTATCTCGGAGCGCTGCAGCCTGTTTGGCGAGACGGGCGAGCGTGTGAGCGATAAAGCGAACCGTCGCATCGACTTTCACTTCAACGCCGTTCTCGACGCCGTCGGCGAGTGGCGGAAGGACAAGCGACCATCCAACGACGTCGCCCTCTACGACAAGCTGATGGAGATGCATGGCAACTTCAAGGAGGAGACGCAGCTAAACTTCAGTGGCGTAATGGTTTATTTCTAATCTTCTTTTTTTCTTTTTGCGCCCATTTTTTTCCGTTGCCCCTTTGGCTCGAAATTTGATTGGTTGTGTTTCTTCGTCCGTGTTTCTTCCGCGTACGCACATTTTGTCAGTGTTGTTGTTTTTTGTGCCGATCGACTGGAGTGTTTTATAAGGGTGGATCGGTTATGAAGCTGAGGAGTCAGAAGCCTGTTTGCAGGCGATGTTCTTCTCGCAAGGAAGATACGGGGATGTTTTTTTTAATGGATGGATTAAAATGCTCTCAGTTTTTCGTAGCAGACAGAATATGTTACAGTTTTTAGAGCGCGGGTGGCATGGCAACATTTTTCTAACAGGTGGCAAAAGACAACTGTTTTTGTGGTGCGTGGGGTCATATGTTATTGTATTTTTAGAAGGGGATGGTATGTAACGGTTTTTCTAGTGGGGCAAGATGTTAGCATTTTTCTAACAGGGAACAAAATACGATCTGTTTTTAACATGAAGTGACACTTAATCAGTTTACTAACAGTTGTGGTATGTTCATGCTTTTTACTGGGGGAGCATATGTTAACGTTTTTCTCACCAAATCGCTACGATAATATTTCATTCAAAAATTAGGTTTCTTAATGTTACATATTACTTACTACGTAAGGAAGCAATACCATGATATTTCCTGTAACTAAAGCGATGCATTATCATCCCTCTTATTGTAGTGATACATTAACGTGTTGGTCATGCAAGCAACACATCAATCCTTCACTACTACGTGCTAGACATTAACGTTGCCAATACATAATGTGTCACGCTAACATTTCCCTAACATGACCGACACGCCAGCACGTCAACAATTGTAACCCCACCACGAACACTCCCCAACTCGCGTCATCCACGCACCGTGATGCCATCTATCGTGCACGCAGGTGGAAGAGCAGCTGATCGGCTTCCACGTCAGCAACCTGGAGTACGCGTGCGGCAGCCGCATCGACGACGTCTCTGCACTCAACTGGGACCAGAACGAGAGCTTCGCACAGTTCACGGGCGACCACGCGCTGCTGCCGCACGGCTACTCTACCCTGCTCACACGGCTAGCCGCTGGGCTGAACGTGGAACTAAACACAGAGGTGGGTGTCTGTAGGGAGGGTTAAACATAGAGGTGTGTGTCTGTAGGGAGGGCTAAACACAGAGGTGGGTGTATGTAGGGAGGGTTAAACACAGAGGTGTGTGTCTGTAGGGAGGGCTAAACACAGAGGTGGGTGTCTGTAGGGAGTGTTAAACACAGAGGTGGGTGTATGTAGGGAGGGCTAAACACAGAGGTGGGTGTCTGTAGGGAGTGTTAAACACAGAGGTGGGTGTCTGTAGGGAGTGTTAAACACAGAGGTGGGTGTCTGTAGGGAGTGTTAAAACAACAGAGGTGGGTGTCTGTAAGGAGGGTTAAAACACAGAGGTGGGTGTATGTAGGGAGGGTTAAACACAGAGGTGGGTGTATGTAGGGAGGGTTAAACACAGAGGTGGGTGTCTGGAGGGAGGGTTAAACACAGAGGTGGGTGTATGTAGGGAGGGTTAAACACAGAGGTGGGTGTATGTAGGGAGGGCTAAACACAGAGGTGGGTGTATGTAGGGAGGGCTAAACACAAAGGTGGGTGTATGTAGGGAGGGTTAAACACAGAGGTGGGTGTATGTAGGGAGGGTTAAACACAGAGGTGGGTGTATGTAGGGAGGGCTAAACACAGAGGTGGGTGTCTGCTGGTAGAGCTCAACAATCCAAATGTGGTGGCATACTCTACCAGAGAGAAAAGTAAAATTTAGACAAACAACAACTGTAGTACGACACAACACAAGTAGACGACTAGGAAAGTACAAGGTGGAGTAGCCAATTATTTTAGTCGGATATCGATACTTATCGGAAAGGCTCTGCAAGTGCGTTATATTGAGGATTTTATTATTGGGCAGAACAATGCCTTTCTGCGGTATACTTTTAAAATGAGATATTGATTACACAGTTTGCACAATGTTCACGTCGATCAATAGTAACATACGGACTGTACAGTGTGGCATAGCTGCACGAGTCCTGCAGTGTTCTCCTGTATTGCTAGCCTTGTACGTATATATTCCTGACGAGGTACCCTCAGGGCCAGTGGTAGTAGAACAGTGTAGACATGGATGCTTGTGTAAATGAGCGAAGTACGAGTCTCGCTGTAGTGCGTGTCATAATGCGTCTTGCAGGTCACGAGTGTAGACTACACTGGAGAGCTTGTGGTTGTGAGGAGCACCACGGGACAAGAATGGACCCCAACGAAGGTACGCATTGGACATCACATCGAAATTGAGTAGATCTGAAAATGACAGTTCCATGACAGTTGAAACATAGACCGTTGACAGAAATGCAGTAAAGTTGTAATTTGTAAAGTAAAGTAGAGATTCTTATGCGCAGTGTATAGAGTTAAGATTAATTTTGTTTCTGACAATGGACCTCTTGGCTGTTAACTAGAAATGCAGGAGGCTGGTTGTCATCATTAACCCCAAATCCATGCTGTCATTACTTTTGCATATGAAAAGTTTTGCAAAAGTAATGACATCCTAGACTCGTTATCGAGCAACTCGTAAACGACAGAACCTGGGGCTATCAGAAACTTCCTAAATAGTTAGGAAGTCGTGCACTCGTGCGGTTGCAACTATTGACGATGTTTTGATGGAACTCGGATGCCTTCACTATCTAGTTTTGTGGACCCTAGCTCCACCACTTCCATGGTTGAGCGTCTGATACATGTGGGTGTGTGTGTGTCCACAGGTGCTGGTCACATTGCCGCTAGCTTTACTGCAGGAGGGAACAATGAAGTTTAATCCACCTCTAAGCGAGGAAAAGCAACAGGCATTAGTCCACCTCGGAGCCGGCTGCATCGAAAAGGTATGGCATTCAAGTAGTGTGTAATAAAACTGCTACCTAACGGTCAATGAAGAAAAACCGAAAGGACAAGTGGCACTGTTCGAAAGGTGACAATTCTATGGAGATGGTTTACAGTTTAACCAGTGCCACTCATTGGAAACGCCAAAAGTGTTCTTTGCTGACAGCTGTCTGTTCTATAGAGGTGACTCCTAATGCATGTTTGACTCTAGCTGTCGTGCAACGTCGATATTAATGACTTTGAGCCTAGCGCAGACTTGCGATTCTGGTTCCGCGTAGATGCGACCTGCAATTGCATGCGATCGGTTGCACGCCTCGCCGAGTGTGCGCATGCAAGCGACTGGCTACCATTTGACGAAAAATGACGCTGGCGGCATGGGCAGTATTTACCCGTCATTTCCAGTTGGATCGCGACATCTTTATATACCGCATGTTTCTTAGTGTGATCGCTGTATTCCGGCAGTGTATAACATCAAACAAAACTGGCCTCTCCATCCACATATCTAGCAAAATGCTTTCTTTTTCATCTCTCCAGCTTGTTGCTGTGAGCGTAGCCATATTGAAATATTACGTGATGAGATGGTGCTCGCTAATTGGTCGGACGATAATTTGTCATCGTTCCAAGTCGCTGCCTAACCGCACGCATGGCCTACCCGCACACATGCGATTTGGAAGCGATTTCGGAGCGACGAGTTGCTGAAATTCAGACATGTTTGATTTCTTGCGACTCGTCGCAAGCGACCAGAATCGCAGCCGCACGTTCCCGCAGACCTAGCGATTTCTCATGCGACTCGGCTGCGATTCTAGAATCGCAGCAGAGTCGCATGAACAAGTCGTAAGTCTGCGCGGGGCTTTATTAATCCTTATAATACAGTGTGCTATCATCCATCTCCTCTAAGTACATTGCTCTTGAATGAAAATGTTGAAGAATTTATAAAGGCACTTTTATTCTACATTATTGATTTCCACAGTACAGCAGTGCAGTCGCGGAACATGATGTAATGAATTTGTTCACGTGGTATTAGCGCATTTGCAATTTCATTCGAGAAAAGGCATAATACTAGCTATACAGAAACTATACACGTAAGGAAATTGTTTGCGTAGAAAATACATGGTATAAGGGTGAAGAACAAGTCATTAACGTACGACCTGATAAGACTGGTGATTGGCAATGAGTAAGAAACTGGGTAGTCGGTGTGGAAATGTGCACGTCGTGCCTTACTACTGTTCGTATTTACATCGTCTTATAATATGAATTTTCATTGCAACTAAGATTGCCTATCTTAAGCAATAAAGCTACAAGCATAAATCACTGTGAAGCTTATACATTACATGCATACATACATACATATGAGCATAGGCATGCCTGAATAAGCTTTGGAAACAAATCGCGTTGCATGCACCAAAGGGCACGCCTGTTAAACTACTAGAAACTACAAGCTATTCTCAACTTTCGTGGCAGTTAGCGGAGAAGTGTTGCATATAACTTTTAAAAATTGTTTTGAAATAAAGAATTGCTAATGATCGAGACCGATGGGAAGCTGATAACGTTATCTTGCAGTAGTGCAGGGGTCTCCGGTTTGATCGCAAGTTAGTAACCATGACTACGTGGAACAGCGTGTGGTTCATTTGCACAGAAACGTGACTATAATACGAAGCAAAAATTCAGACTCAAATCGAACGGCGAATCAGTGCTAGAAAAATCACAGACTATCATGTTAATATGCATGACATGATATAATAAGTCTGACAAATGGCCCTTTTTCTATTAGTATAGCCTGTAAATAAAGATTTTTTAAAGAAGAACGCTCACACTTATATACAGGCACACATCACACACGTGAGTGCACGTATCAACACACGCATGAATTTAAAATTGCACATCCCCATAAATTTACATTCAGCCACCCACCCACTTAGATGCGCATACAGCCACACCGGCAGACACTTACATATATACAGCCAAATGCCCACACTCACTTACAGTCAACCACCACACACATAGGCACACATGTACACACACATACACACACACACACACACACACTTGGGCAAAATTTGGCAATGGTGTTACATATCGCTGTACACCTATACATCGATGAAGACCATCCACTTCACGGCGGCACCCCCTACATGTTGCCTGTGCGATCTAACGCGTCGGAGGCGCCATCTACACATCCATCCGCGCGATCTCACTTGTCGGCAACGCCCCCTACATGATCTCACTTGTCGGCAACACCCCCTACACGACTTCTCGTGTCGGCAGCGCCCCCTACACCATCTCGCGTGTCAGCAGCGCCCCCTATATGTCGCTGAGCGTGATCCACATCTCGGCGTTGTAGACGCCGGCGGTCGGCGGCGGGTAGTTCTTATCCATCCTTCCCGTGATGTACTCGATGACGAACTTGATCGGCGGCGTCGACGGCGCCTCCATGACGGGCGACTGCAGCGCGTCTAGCTCCAGCTTTGGCTTGTGCGATATGGGCACGCCGCCGGGCTGTCCGGCGGCGGTGACCACCTCGTCTCCGTCACACGACGCGATCGTCTCGTTGCTCTCGCTCATGTCGTCGGCTGAATGAATGTCGAGGGTATGAAGCGTGAGATAGTGCAGCTGCGATGGTGATATAGACGATGGTTCTCGGGTGACTTGTAGTATGTTGTATTTGTAGTTGTGTCGGCGCGTTCTATAAGTCCAATCTCAGTTGTTACTGTCCGACTCTCTCGTTGTTGTTGTTGTTGTTGTCGGGGTGGTAGTCGGGCGCCAATGCGGCTACGCGTTCACACAGCTCCTGTAAGATTCGATCGCTTGCAGTCGGGTGTGTTGGCGCGACTCGACGCGTTTGCTCCTGTGATTCTCTGAGAGATTCGCCTCACTCGTTGCACTACATTCACTTGTGTCTAAGCAAACACGCGTCGCGCGGATAGTGGATGTTTCGCTGAATCCCCCTAACTAGTTCTGCACGCGCACGGGCAAAACTGTTGTGGATTGAACAGGCTGCGCGGGTCTTTAAGACTGCTGGAAATAGCCGCTACTGGCGCAGTAGTCATCGCATGCACAGAAAAAACACGGGGGTGCAAAAATACTGCGCTGCACGGGGAAGGCGCCTCACTACGGGGAGCTTGTGCAACGTCCCGCCACAATAGTGAGGAATCAGGTTATACCCGCGCAGGAGTGTGCTAACGGGTAGCAGGCTGGATACCGTTGCTAGGGTCTATTGTTGACAAGTCCTGCTGGTCTGTGAGACGGTGGCTCTGCCTTTTGTACTGCAATTAGCTGGAAGTCTTGGCAGCCGAGCACCGGCTGCAGTCCTCCCTACCCGCCGCTCCTTTCTCTCGTGGACGTGCCCTTGCTACCACATTCCTAGTGCTAATAATACTCTGCCAGGCGGGCGCGTACGCGGGACAGCTTATTACTTAGAACTCGAGTCTAGGCTTCGCAGGCTAAATTTATCCGAAGGCTGCGTGTTGGCGCGCTCTCTCGCACGCAGTGTGCACGTGATTGCCGTATAGCAGGCAGTGATCACAATCGGATAGCCCAGCAGGATGGTGCGACGCACCTCGCTCGTCGCGCCCCCTAATCGCTATGTGAAGCCTACAGAGGCCAACTTACGTATAATAACGAGTTGGATAGGTGTGACGCACGCGGCTTACTGTTCACCTAATCACTGTGTGCAGCCCCATCAGAACAGACTTAACGAGCTCGGAAGGTGCGCGGTAGCTTACCAGATTCCATCCATCGACGTTTATCGATTTTGATCTGCCGCTTACGTTGCAGCTGTACAAATAATACATGATTGATATTAATATTTGATTGATCACAGACTGGACGGGCGGCCGGCGTTAGCGTTAAACAAATTACCCCAGTAATCCCCCCTCTCTCATTCTCTCTCCTTCCCATGTCTATCTCTCTCCGTGTCTCTCTCTCTCTCATTCATTTTCCTCCCCTCTCTCTGTTATCCTATCTTCTCTACCCCCTCACCCTCTGTCTCGCTCCCTCGCCCCCTTTACCCTGCCCTCTTCACCTCCTCCCCATCTCTCTCTCGCTCTCTCTCTTTTCCTCTCTTTTTCTTTTTCGTTCTCACTCTGTCTCTAAATGGTCTCTGAACGGATACCTGATTTTATGCGATCTATAACGTCATCATCCGTTGTTCGCGGATCAATAACTGAGATTTGGTGGGTGGAAATAGTTGTCCAATCCCTCGCTCCCCTTGATTCGATGAGTGCGTTTTTTTTCTCTCATGCGCGGGCTGTAATTTCGCTCGGCTCGTATACATATCGCGGGTTGATGCCCTCTCTCGTTCGCACTGCCACGGCTGGTTCTGACATGAGGCTGCTCAGCGTGCGAGGGCTGCGCCTGCGCGTCTGCCAATAGCAGGTGGCGCGCTGCGGCGTGCACGTGCGTTTCGCGTGTCTGGTGCTGATGTTGGCGGATTTTCAGTCGGCAAATGCACCGTAGCAGCAGAACACTGACTGTAGGAGTGAGTGTGTGCACTGATCGATTCCGCACTCGCATTTCATAGAATCTTGTGCGTTTTTGTAGTAGGGGTAATTTATTATTGACCATACACGATTTTATCGATATTATTTTTTAATATATTTAATGATGGTACATTGGTAAAGGATATATCAACACGACCTTGCAACCTCCCCACCATCAGTTCGATAATAAAAGAATAATATGTGCTAGACTGAACAAGAGACACGTGACAACAGGGAAGGCAGCTAGTGCCCTAAAAAGATTTTCTGAACGTCTCTGTTCTACTCTTCTGGCGATTTACTAGGAATATCTTGATGAACTTAAGATAAACTCTCATTAAATAAATATTGTTACTTGCCGAGCAATGCTGTTAGAATGGGATAAACTTTTAAAACATGCCAGCTAACATGACCCAAGACGCTAGCATATATTAATAGAAATTACGATCTATATAATCCGAATTTGTTGTTGTGTAGTATAATATTCCTGTAATGTGATACATCTGTTATACATATCGAAATAGAAGGGCCTAATATGGTGCTCATATATTTTGGATATAAGTAACAGCCTGATGGGATAACGTGATGATGACCTGATTATTGATGAAAATATATATTAGCCTTCAATCCGTCGTACCAAGGGTCGATGTACACAATGTAGAATATATTTTAGTGTTTTTGTAGGATATGTGATACAACTCATGTGAGCTAGGCTTCTAAAATCAGTGGCTGAGCTAGCTGACTGTCTGTGTGTGTGTGTGTGTGTGTGTGTGTGTGTGTGTGTGCGTCGTCGTCGTCGGTGCGTGCGTGCGTGTGTGTGTGTGGCTGTCTGTGTGTGTGTGCGTGCGTGCGTGCGTATGTGTGCGCGTGCGTGTGTGTGTGTGTGTGCGTGCGGGTGTGCGTGTGTGTGTGTGCGCGTGCGTGTCTGTATATACAGTGTATGTATATGCCTCATGGACGCAGCTTTCTCACTGAGTGGCAGTAAAGCCATTATGTAGAATGAGCACACTTTTTGCATTTCCCTTGAGGTTTTACTGTGCTGATAACTTTGTCTTGCATTGCCTATCGACTAGATTTATTACTAGATATATTTTTTATTGCTTTGCCTTCATCAATGAATTATAGTCAATCACTGCAATTCCATCATGCAATGCTCACATTCATCCCATCATGACATGCTCACTGCGAATGTATAATACCACACTCACTACTATGAGTGTGAAATAATTACCTCAATTGTTTTAATTATCTGTAGGTGGCGTTGAAGTTCACACATCGTTTCTGGCAGAAGCGACTCAATGATGAGGATTTTTTCGGACACGTGCCGTCCTGCCAGGACAGTCGAGGCCTCTTTAGTGTCTTTTTCGATCTCACCGCTGAGGTATTATACACGTGCATGTGTCCGATTTACGGGAACATTTTGTTACACCTATTGCGGTGTAATGAGTTACATCTATTATATCGCGGGGCGCTCGTGCATGCCGTTATTGCATTTAAACAGACGTGTAGGATCTAGGAAACATCGTGGGCGACTAGATCATTATGTTGCATAGCAACCCTATGTGCAGTAGTGTACACAAGTCCTGTGTATATCGTATAAATTGTGTACTTGTGGTAAAGTTCATACAACATGATTGTAAATGTTCACAGCGTATAGAAAATTTTAGCATGTAGTGTTGCGTGCATTTATTAGAAGTAGGGACACCATATATAATATTTTGTATGTTTACAGCTGGCATATATATGTCATAAACGTAGTAGCACCTACATATAGTACTATGTATTAGGTGCAATATACTATGGGCATGCTATATATTTCTAATTCTCTCTTTCTCTCTCTCTCTCTCTCTCTCTCTCTCTCTCTCTCTCTCTCTTTCTTTCTTTCTCTCTCTGTCTCTTTCTTTCTCTCTCTCTCTTTCTCTCTTTCTCTCTCTCTCTCTCTCTCTCTCTCTCATTCTCACTCTCTCTCTCTCTCTCTCTCTCTCTCTCTCTCTCTCTCTCTCTCCCTCTCTCTTTCTATGTCTGATTGTCTCTCTCTCGCTTCTTCTTCTCCTCCTGGTCTTCTTCTTCTTCTCTTCTTTCCATGTTGCTCTCTCGATTTTCTAATCTCCCTCTCTCATTCTCTCTCTTTCCCGCTTCCTTGCGCTCTCTTCTCCTTCACTCGCCCCTCACCCCTCACCCACCTTCCCTCTCTCGTGCCTTTCGGCACAACACTCGTGCTCACTGTTAGCAGGAGCGCCACCGTCTGGGAGTGATCAGAGGCTAATAGAGGAAATGCGAAGCCTCTATCCTCAACACGGGCGTGCAGTTACTTCTCGTGCGGTTTGCCTTACGGGGATGGCCTACATCTAGCGAGATGTATAGATAGATTGCTAGATAGCTAGCTAAATATATATATATATATATTTATTTAATTATTTATTTATATATAGAGAGAATTTAATATATAGGTGTCATATAATTATATGGCTTTACATGGGCGATGATGGGTAATAGTGTATTTGCTTGCCGTACTTTGCAGGGAGGCAGTGACTACGTTCTCGTAAGCCACATCAGCGGACCTGCTCTCAATCTCATTAAAGACAAAACCGACCAGCAGGTGGTCGATATGGCAACGGATGTGCTTAGAAAGCTATTCCCAGAGGAGGTGAGCATGGGGTGATATATATCGTAGCACTCCCCACTGAGATACAAAAGTGGTTTCTTGGAGGGATAGTACGAACACTAGAGCTCATGACGACACATTTGATAGAAAACATTACTATTCCCGGTTTTCTTGCACATGGATTTCACACGTTACCTTTCAGTATTTGAACGCAATTTCGTATCTGACGTATAGTAATTTTGTAGGACTATATTATTGTGTTGACTCTTTATCTCCACTATTTTTGGGGAACTGTAAATGTGAGAAAGAGTATGCACATGAGCGGCAGTGGCGACACTGCATGGGAGATTATTCACAAAGAGCAACAGACAATAACAGAATTGATGACAACAACAACAACAACATAGTGCATCAATAATACAGTGCATTGCATAAGTTTTATTCCTGCGGGTTTTATGCTGTAAGACTTCTTTTCTAACTGTATCCCTATACCGTATATGGTGCAGTAATATTACGTGCCTGTGTAGATTCACGTGCTGTGCTTTTCACCATGGAGTCTTCGTGCTGTTAAGGATGTCTTTGCTTTCCAGACAATCTCTGATCCGACCTCATACATTGTGACACACTGGCGAGACGACAAGTATTCCAAGATGGCGTACAGCTACGTAGCGACGGGTGGGCAGGGTGAGGCTTACACCGTCCTCGCTGAGGAGATCGACAAGAAGGTCTACTTTGCCGGCGAGGTAAACACAGCCGCAACACGTACTGATCAATATATATATATATATATCAGGAGTAGATAATAGGGAAGGAGTGTGACATCAATAAACAAGGGAAATTCGTCATTTACTAGCCTTAAAATACCTGCGATTTACTACGCGTAACTCATCCAACTTGAGCTCAAATCGTACACAGTACATTCGCCTAGCATCGTGCGAAATCGTTTCCTCGTATACACAAGCAATCCGGAGATACAGACTAAAACGTACGACACGATTATCCATTTTTTGGCCATCAATCCAAGCCGATTGCCTGCCTATATTCAAACAAAAGGCAGCTACTAACGCGCTATTGCTAACTCGGCGAGGCATGTGGCTCGCTGGGAGATTAGGCATCAACACTCTGCGAGATAACCTTTGACCCGGTACACAGCTACATACCTGCATACAGCGGCATACAGCAGCCCCACTGCACATACTGGCACGCATGCCAACCGCAATCAGCAGCAGCTGATCAGGCTCAAATCTCCCAGCGAGCCACATTGCCCGTTTTCCGTTGCCGAGTTAGCAATAGCGCGTTAGTAGCTGCCTTTTGTTTGAATAAGCTTATAGATATTTTGATATTATTTACCTCAAATATATATGTTTGTGTGTGTGTGCGTGCGCGTGCAAGCGTATATTTGTATACACGTGTATAGTATCAGGACTAGGATAATGAATTGATTTCTCATGTGGGTCATTATGTTTATATACTACTTATGTCGTTCACGATGGTGTGAGCATATTCATCTTACTACGCGTGCTAACTCCTGCATACGACCATATACATGAAAAACGATTCGGTTAAAGTAAATTCCTTATCGTGAGTAGCATTTCTCGGCTGTGCAGTGAGCATCCCCGATTACTGCAGAAGAGAAATGCAGCTGTTGGAATTTGACAAGCGGTCTGTGTTTGTAACAACACGCGTGCATTGCTGGCAGAATAGATTTTCGTTTATGGAGAAAGCTGGAGATGTCTCGTTAATGGCACGTGAAATGTCAATAGGTTGTTATACTGGCACGTTATTCTGTACATACGTTCCTGGTGCCTCAACGCACAAATGTCGTATTGCTCCATTATTCTCTGCTGTTTACTCTCAACAGGATGCCGAATCAACTGAATTTCACCTGTTTACAGTGCACTGTTTCACTATGCGCCTCTGTGCCGGCTTGCAAACTCCGAACCCTGTCAATTTCTGTCTGGCAAGGGTCCGTTCCTCACTGCTGTAATCTTGCTGTTGCAGGCCACGAACAGACACTTCCCGCAGACGGTGACTGGTGCCTATCTCAGCGGAATCCGAGAGGTTGCCAAGATGGCCACGCCGTAAACGAGACGACTGCACCAGAGGGAGCACCAGGGGGAGCTGTCCCTGAAGGCAGGCGAGATGCCACCAGGTGGAGGCACCAGTCAGTAGCAAGCTGGCGATGGTCGTTCGTTCGCGTCGCCGAAAGGTCGCGCCTTGCTGTCATCTCGTTGTCATGGCAACTGACCTATTGACACACCCACATACCCTGTCCCCAGCCGGCGTCCCCATCGATGAGTCACGATCCGCACGCAATTTGGTTTTTCTGATCGTTGTGTGTAGTTTTGCCACAGTCTGTGATTACGTTCCGTCAGCGTGCTCCTGGGAGGTCCCATCTGGACAGGCTTGAATGTGATATAGTGTACGGCGCAACGCACGCAGTTATTGTACGAATATTGTTGCAATCACTCATCGTTGTGTGGCTATTTTGAGGTGTGATTTTTAATGCGCTCTTCTGGCCGGGACGTGTAGTATTGTATTGTTTATCGTGTCGGCAGTGACTGGGAATATTTGTATTGATGACCGCTCGGTGGTGTTGGAGGCGAAATGAGTATGCGTTTACTGAATTGGTGTCCTACAGGTATATTTCAGGACAATGTCAGATATATGTGTTTCTTTGGATGCTGGAGTGTTTCTTGATAAAATGCACAAGTGCTGGGTGAATGAGTGTATGAAAGAGATGGTGTTTGAGATTTTGAGTGTTGTATAGTGGTGTGCATGAGTTTTTGCCCAAATTGTAATAAAGTGTAAAACGTTGTGAGATGTGTACAGATATTGCAGTGTACAGGGTAGATGTGTATGTTTGGTTTTATCACAGCACAAATGGAGAATTTCCAAAAATTTTGTAATTTCAATGTTATGCATCACATTTAAGTTTTGAAATTGTACTAAATAAATAAGACCATATAATCTCAATGGTTGCTATCAGGCACAAATATTTGGTACGTCCTTATTTTTAGCACAGCTGACGAAGACAGATGCAGCTTGTAGAATCGCATGAGCGTCCGTCCATCTGTTCGTCCGTGCGTCCGTCAACAGTTGGGCACAAATCTTAACCGCTCGACGTACGGTCTTGAAAAGGATGTCGACTCGGGATGTCGAATTAGGGGGGTCAAGTGTCAAAGGTCAAGATGTGTCAATGGAGGGAGAATATTTTCCCCTTAACTTAAGGTATAGGAGGAAATACGGAATTGCGGCACAAATCTCAATGGCTCGACCTACGCTCTTAATATTTGATGTATAGTGTGATGGGGAGGAAACCCATCACCAGTGCGAAATTGGAGGTCAAAGGGCAGTGGGGGAAAGGTCAGATATCAGACATTTTCTGAGGACATGGTCTAACGGACCGAGTGCAAAACTTTTTTGTTTCAGCGCAGACCTACCATTTTCATCACTTTATTGAAAGGACCATGAAATGTGCTTTTCGCTGACGTGCGAAGAATAAGTGTCTGATAACCTTTTGACCCTCAAGAGCCGAACTTGTGAACTTCTGCCTGTGTTAGCTCACTACTCTTTATTGCAGTGAAGAGATAAAAGATTTTCACAACTGGTTCGCCGTCAGTTTGTGTAGCTGGGTCAGCATTCAATAAGTTTTTGAAATGATTCTCCCAAGCCGTGAGTCGGTCTTCACCTTCGATGAATATCGTGCTGCGATGAATTTCTTCCCAGAGAGTTTCTTGACAAGGTCCCAAGCAGTCTTGATGACAGACGCTGCTGCTGGGGTCTCGAATGAGCAAAGTATTTCATTGATGCGTTTGTCTTCATAACAATCAAATGCTTTGCGAAGGTTATACTGGGCTGAATGGACACTGTGTCGATGCACGAAGCGTAGCCTTGCGTGCGGAAACGACGGGTTCTGTGTCGACTGTTTTTGCAGGAGGCCGAGGTCTTGGAGGCAATAGTTCTGCACCGGTTTTGGTTGCAATATTAACGAACGACGAGTAGTTCTGATCAGCTGCAGGTAGATTTTCAAAACGTGACGAGATGGTATCACCAATTTTGTGGCTAGGGCTGGATCAAGTGTGAGTGATTGCCAGAACAGTTTCTTGGTGACCGGGGTCTTTGAGCGCCGCAGACTAAGTTTGATTTTTGCTGTTACGATGCGATGATCGCTTCCAATCGGGTTTGATGTTGAGAAAGCCTGGCAATCACTGATACTATTACGCCATCTTTTTCGATACATACAGAAGTTGATTTGGGATAATGCACCCGTGGGCGACCTGAATGTCCATAATTTATTCAACGATTTCTGGAAAGAGACATTCCTCACAGAGGGACAGACAAGATTGTGTTGTTCGATGAAGTCAAGGAGAAGGCCGTTGCGATTTGATGTATCATGCAATGAGAAACCTTTTTAAGATTTGAGCATTCATGTCATGATGAAATGTCTCCAATGATGACCATTGAGTGTAGCGGAATGTCTTCAACTGCGTTGCTTAGTTTTGAATAGAAGTCATTAACGACATCATCTGGCATGCTGTTGTGCGGTGAGTAACAAGCAAGTATTACTGTTTTGGGATTCCTTCTAAACGTGGCAGAGACGATACACCCATCTAACTTCTTAACTGAGAGAAGCAAAGGTAGCAGCTTCGAATCTATAGATATGCCAACCCCACGAATGGAGGCGCCACAGTCATTTTGAACGGCAGATGCAGTGAAGAGAGTTACCCGGCCAAGATCGCGAGCAACTATTTCCGGATCGGAGTCAGGATGTATAAAACGATGTTCTTGGATGCAGGTTACATGCAGATATAGAATAGTCATTCATGAGTTTGTTGAGCTCAGCTTGAGAAGATGCGGAGCGTAGAGTTCTACAGTTGAGTGTAGCCACTTTATAAGACTGGCTAGGTCTGGAGAGGCCAATCTTCTGTCGTTGACGATCGGAGCTCAGCCGCTCCGGAGAGTTTAGGGTTGGCTCGTCATTAGCTGCAGGAATAGCGTTACTTGACCGCGTGATTGGCCGATTAACAAGGGCTTTATAACCTTGGTGCTGTAATTGAACTTCATCATGCTCTTTCTATTGGCTGAGTACGTATGCGGCTCGCTGCGCCTGCATACGTTTACGGTTCTCCGCTAACTGGAGCGATGCACCTTGGCGTTGTCATAAATTATGATCCTCCGCGAAGCTGCGCTGTTCGCTTTGCCGAAACATCCGTTTGTCGATGATCGCCACAGGAACTACAACTACCCGTAAAGATAGAGGGATTTTTTATCGAGGTTAAACTCCTCTAGATCCGCCGTGTTCTCTCTATTGCAAAGCAATATTACCAGTGTCACCACGAGGAGTATGTGGCTATTTATACGCCACACACGGACGATCATTCACTATGGAGAGGCTAGTTGCAAATTGCAACTGCACTGAGTGCTAAGTGGCGCATCACATAGTGCTGGCCGGGTGTATGGGGACCAGTCGAGGACGCTACAAAAGGCCACCTCGGAAAGGTACTACCCCTCTACAAGAACCTTGACACCTTGAGAAAAGATTGCTCACATTGAATTATGGCGTACAACAACTATTTTTACTTTATATATAAATCTAAGGTATATATGTAATTGAGTACCTAGCAGTAACAATGTACCATATGGAATCAACCATCACGAAAAACCAAGAAAATACCAAAAATACCTTTTTATTCAATATCTGGTATTCTATCTATTTCTATCGATCTATATCTGATATGTCTATCTATTTATTTGGTATTTTAATCTAAATCCTATCAGGTTATATTCTCTTGAATAAGTGATCCCCCTCTCCCAAATGGTATCGCCCACGCCCTCGTGAGCACAGACAATTTTCGCCAGTAAAATGGCTGGTTTTCAGCCTCAACTTTTTCACCCCCTCCCCCCTAAGGCACAAAATATGATTATACGGCTATAATACGCGTTTTTACAGTTGCAAAAACACAGACCGGGCACGCACACGCGGGTCGCACGGGCGCGTGCGCGTGTATTATAGGCGTAAATTCACATTTTGTGCCTCGTGGGGTGAAAAAGTTTCGGCTGAAATAGGCTACAGGGCTGGCCGGCAAACTTTTCACCGTGCTATCGGTGCAGTGGGCGATACCATCCGCGAGAGGGGAGTAAGGAATAATTAAGTGATTGCTTTTATTCACTGTTAATATTAGGCCTACTGCCTGACACAGCAGATGAAAGGTCAGCATAAAGAACAGCCAACTGTTTATTATTATTATTATTATTATTATTATTATTATTATTATTATTAAATCTTTATTGCATGTAATTCAACTATAAATACACGTAGGAGACAGTCATGGAGGAGAAATCTGATAAATGCAACAGTGTTGAGCAGTTTATATAATAAAGTTTCTGAGTGAAACAGTACATTGTGTGATACATGTTACATCAAAGCTTTACATATTGTTACAGGACTGTGACATGAATCTACGTCAATGACAATATGAAACGACTATTGTGTACGTTAATCTGCTGTCGGCACTCATGTAAAACAACTATTTTTACTTTATATATGAATCTAAGGTATGTATAATGACTCTAAAAACCTAAAACTATTTGTCACACATTATCCTTGAAAAATTATTCACACTTTTGTGGGAACCAAGCACACGTACACACGTGCGACACGCACACACACATGTGCGACACGTACACACACGTGCGACACGTACACACACGTGCGACACGCACACACACATGTGCGACACTACACACGTGCGACACGCACACACACATGTGCGACACGTACACACACGTGCGACACGTACACACACGTGCGACACGCACACACACATGTGCGACACGTACACACACGTGCGACACGTACACACACGTACACACACGTGCGACACGTACACACGCACACACGTCCGACGCGCGCACACACGTGCGACACGCGCACACACGTGCGACACGCACACACACGTGCGACACGCACACACACGTGCGACACGCACACACACGTGCGACACGCACACACACACGTGCGACAGGCACACACACGTGCGACACACACACACACATGTGCGACACGCACACACACACACACACACACACGCGCACACGCACACACACACGCACACACACACACGCACACGCACACGCACACGCACACACACACACACACACACACACACACGTGCGACACGGATACACACGTACACACGCACACATGTACGACACGCACTCGCGCGACACACAAACGCGCGACACGCACTCGCGCGACACGCACACACGCACACACGCACACACGCGATACGCACACGCACTCGCGCGACACACACACACACGCGCGCGCGCGACACGCACACACACACACACACACACGCGCGCGACACGCACACACACACGCGCGCGACACGAACACACGCGCGACACGCACACACGCGCGACACGCATACACACACACACGCACGCGCGACACACACACACACACACGCACGCGCGACACGCACACACACACACACACACACACACACGCGCGCGCACGCGCGCGCGCGCGACACGCACACAGCGGCGATGTAGTATAGATGTGATGTGTATATATGGTTATAATACGCATGCATGCGTGTGAACGCGCGAAGGTGGATCCAGAGGAAGGATATAAGACCACACTATGGGCGTGAAAACAAGCCCAATCTTTTCCAGTATGTGGCAAAACCTCGCCTAAATCGAAATTATTCTATAAAATACTCTTGAATAGTAGGCAAGTGATAGTAATATAGAAAAATATATATTCAAAGGCTATTGAATTGACATTGGCCGCCCCTCAACCAGTATCTGCTTACTGTTCAAAGGATCACCCTCTAATGTTTGTGTGTGAATGACAGTGACAACAGTAGCAAATAAGGAATAATGAAAATCTATTTTCAATGTATTTAATAACATTTAAAATTTATTACGTTTATCAACGTACAGACAATATGGTCAGTTATTCTATAAACAGAATTTAATATATCTTTTGATTTGCATAAAAATCACAGTTTAGATTTCAGTTGTCCATCGTACAGGTTATCCGATAGTTAACAGTTTTTAATACTAATATAATTTTCAACAAAACATTTATATAATGTAACTAATATATATCGCATTAATATAACAATCGATTAATAACTTTGGAAGCTAGGTTTCATTATTTTAGTTATCTAAAGATATACATGGATATTCGTAAACGTGTAAATCCTATATAATCACATATCATATTATACACATTACATATAATAACGCGCAATATTTAATTTGTGATGTGTGATCTTCACCTGAACTTTAGCATCTAGCACACTGCAACAGTTTACTATATATATATTTATATATATTGAACGAAACGGTCCATTAAAGCATTAAACTATCTTCTTGAACTTCATATAAGTTTCCTTATTAATTACCCATATTTACACGTAATGCATGTTACATGTGAATAATAGTATGGGGAGTCAATCTAAATCTAAACGGACAACAAGCCTAATTTACTGTGTGCAACGCTCCATTTTACGTTTAAATTAATGGGAAATTGAGAGTGTGTGATGCCTTGAGTTCAACTACGATATAACTATTCCTTATGCCTTGCTGGATGTTGAGTTGTCTTCTTCATACAATGGATTGTCAATGCCTAGAGCACCAGGAGTTGCAGTGTCATCAGGTTTTGCCAGATCTAGCTTCTGTAAACGTAATTTAACGGGCATACATGAGACGATCTATTGCCCGAGAAACGAAAATGCTACAAGATGTACACAAATCAGAAACAAATAATATCATCGAATTTGATGATTCCAAACATGTTTTCGAATAGGAACGTTAACAAAACTGTACTATATTGATGAAAGATAAAAACCAGCAGATTTAGATAACATTTTTATGAAATAGTTTTGCTTATAGTTATGTAGAAACTTACTGCTTTGCTCCACTTCATCGTAGTCAAATTCTCCGTGTCAATATTTACTATATCGTCATTACCGAACTGTAAGAAAGACAACCCAAAACTGCCTCGTGAATCATCTAGACAGATAGTAGCCAAAGACATTTGCTAAAAGTAATGTGTGTTATGAATAATGCATAAATAAACTTAATTTCCGATATGGTACATTATACTAAACGAGATCAATTCCTGTTACGTACGGCGTTGCCAATAGCATAACAGTTATATGGTGTGCCAACCAATTTCTGTTTTTATTCAATAAAACAAATGGCATCGGTATATCCATAAAACATAACCACAATTAGAATCATAAGCATAGCATGCATGCATCTGTGCAATTACTGCCACCTCGCTGCCAAAACGGCACTTACATCTGTAAGACCATAGCCAGGATTCGACACTCCATCATCTACCAGGCCACTTGGCATCCTATCAAAGCATCATGACACAGCTCAAAGTCACAGACAAACACATACAAAACCCAAAGCTTTACCAGCAGTCTCCTGCACGACAGCAGAAGGAGGACACGCCCAGCAATGTTCACTTCAAACCATTCTAGATCAAAATTTCTGGATTTTTCTGCAATGATGGGCAGCCATGGTTCTGCTGTCGTTTAGCTCGACCCCAGTAAAGTTCAGTTTAGCAAATGAACGTACATCACACATCTGTGATTCCCCGAAGCCATCATAAACAGGGTTCAAGTCTACATGACCTAGGGCGGCCCGCGTCTTGGCTGTTGTTCTGTGTAGAGACAGTATGGAACACGTTATTGTTACGTAGATATGTGAGGACCTACCCAGCAAACTGCCATTACGCAAGCTTCCACACAAAAACAGTTAAATAGAATAGTAATACCATCAGCGGTTGGGAGGATTATTTATATTGGGGGAAAGGATGAAGTCAAATATGTAGTTTTTTTGGTGAACGGTTAGGTTCTATGACTCTATGAAAAAAGGGTTATAAATTCACCAGACCAACAGCCCCATAACAAGGTTCAAAATTGTGAACTTTGTGAATTAATGGGCTCATAACAGCGAATTTTTTCTCGCCCATTTTAAATACACAGAATAACTGAAGCTAGCAGTTTTTATATAACACAGCAAGTCGTAACACATTTCACACTATTTACAGCTAATGCTGCAAACTGGCAATCACAGCTTCACAATGAACCTATACGATGCTAGAAGAATAAAAGCCACAGATTTGGTTGCATATATACCTTCTCTGTTTCCGGCGGAAGAAGTAGTAGACGGCTGCTATGATAAGCAACAAGGCCAACAGTGATCCTGTGATGATGACGCCGACTAGCCAGTTGGTATCTGCGCATGAATTATCAGCAGCTAATTAATTAACATACCCTTTCCTTATGCTTTATGTAATTACAGCAACCCCTTGACATTCGCATGTTTCACTTTTGCAATTTTGATTATCAATGAATCAGTACTATGCAGCTTCATCATCATCGCCGTCGTCATCTTCAACATTATAATTTTGAGGTTAGTAGATTGATTTATAGATACGAAATAGGTATATAGTCAGTGTCCTTATGGTATTTAGTGAACCGTGGATGGTATTCACTAATCTGGCTACTCGGGGGGGGGGGTGGAGGGTTACAGACACGTATGCTATAACTCATAAACGTCAGGGGTTTACAGTACCCGACTCAAACTATTAACGAAAGTTTGGGGAAATGCCATGAGGTCTATAAGAGAAAAGTGAAAGAAAGAATTTAACAAACAGTTTTCTAATTATACTCATAAAAATTCATTCTATAAATAAATTCAATGAATTACTATAAATATCATTATTGTTAATAGCTGCACAGATCAAACTATTCACTAACGTTTTAGGAAAAATTGCATGAGGCACATAGGAGGAGTCGAAAAGAGAATCAGTTTTCATATTATCGATGGCTTAATGCTAACGACCAGCCAGCCATTAGTTGCCTATAAATTGTCTGAGTGACCTGTAGCTACAAACATAACAACTTATGGCATTTATAGAAATCTGGCAAATTTGTCAGGGAAGGCTTGTAGGTGGAAGGTGAATATACTAACATTCAGTTAAGACGCACTTTAAAAATGGTTTCATTTCAAGTTACGAGCTCGTAAGCATTTGCCCTAGGTTACAATCGAGTGTAAATTAGGATTGATTATAAGGTTGAACTGCTTAACACGTCACAAGCTTACGGTGTGTTGGTGCCCCAGTCGGATGAATTGCATGTTGACACCTGTTTCCACCAACTTCTGGTGGGCACCTGTAATTTTATATAACCTTTTTACAATACAGAATGGCTGATTAGATAGGTACAGATAACTATATAGAGACATATCTATACTATAACCTAAAACCTTGAGTCTAAACACACATTCATTGCAAACGCTCATTTTCTTTAGCAGGAAATGATTTTTTTTGCAATTTTGACTCAATACTCATAAATAAAAGGCAACTACTTAGACAGCTCGCTAATCATGCTTATTCTAAAACCCATTCTACCGTAGAACATCTTAAGTGGAATTTATATCGTACACAAGTGCTTGCATGTAAATTTTCTAATAAAATGTGATTAAGCTAGCGAAAAGATGTATACTGAATCACACAGTGATTAAATAGGAATGAAACTGAATGACAGGTGGCGTAACTTACGAGCAAATCGGACCGTGTCCGCTAACGGTGCAATTACCGCTGTTCTTGCAGAAATCGGCCATGCATTCTGTGAATACAACCAAAACATGACACGCGGCCAGAGATGGAACCTTACTCACATAAGTGCTTTATGTGCAGCTATGCTTTGGTGATTTCTGAACGATCTCTAAACAATTTCTAAACAATTTCCTTTAACACACTAGTGGATTACACACCCAATGTGCCCCTAGGCTAGATCATTGTATGCTATAGCCACGGTACACAGGAGGAGAGACAGCAAGCATCTGAATGCACACGTACCAGAGCAGAACATCTCATCCGAGGTATCAGTGAAGCAGTTTGTGTCATTGTTGCAGCGCTCGTCCAGAGGAATGCAGTGGTTGATCGAGTCTCGACAAAAGTAGTATCCATCGTCGCAGGTGTGATATGCTGCAGGACATGAACGGAGATCAAAGCGGGGTTAGACACATTTCCCACAGCATGCAGTATAGCCATTATAAAATTTGATAAACATATTCAAATCGACAGTATTAGTGGTAGTTGCGTTCAGTGTGCTAGTTCTGTACTATGTAATCATTGGAATACATAGCTAGTTCATTAGGTATTTATTATGGGTCACTGCCTTTCCCCATATGATTAAATTAGGCAGACCACACCAGGCAACCTTCTTACCACTTCTTGCCTTAATTAAGAATAAAGTTTACAAATGATTACCAATACAAGCATATTGATTATCAAATAATAACACGAACATATGTATTATAGCACACTATATATAAGTATATAATAATAATGGCCAAGTTCTCTATTTCACAAGTAAATAAAGGAAGATATGGTGCGAAACACTCAGGTGCGAACTCACGGCAGTATTGCAATTCATCCTCGCTATGCTTGCAATCTGGATTGCCATCACACTCATAGATGTAAGCGATGCATGTTCCGTCATTACACTGAAGGTAGTTGTCCTCGCAGTCTCCCTGTTGTAGTGGCTCTCCAGGATAGTCTGTCACCCACGGCGTTGTCTTCGCAGCTGTTGTGATGCATTAACAAGTAGTGATATTACTATCATGGGTTGACATAATTATGTAATCATCTCTAGTGGAAATGGTTGCGTGGGGAAGTCGTAACATTCGTTTGAAGGACCCGTGTAGGTACTCAGTCATCACAGTCACACTTCACCTTAAATATTCCATTAGTTTATTCCCAATCAATATTTCGTTTAGTCAATCCAGCCGTATGCATGGGCAAGTGTTCGACTAATGTCACAGAATATACAAGGCTGTATAGACCAGAGTTCTACCAAAGGTCACCCTAGCTTACCCTAGCTCTCAGCTGTTTATAATACTGAGAATTAAGACCTAGGCAATCAGAGGAACTTCTGAGAAATTCACAAGCATTAACTAAGGTACAAACCATGCTAACGTGAAATACTGGCGTTTTGCACACTGCTCCTGAAGTTAATCATAGTAAATGTTTAAACTGTGCTTTGTAACAGCGGCACATCACACAAAATTACGTATACTATAGCCTATATATACAAGAAAAATCGTACTGGTATTCTAGTGAGCAGAATCCTCACTCAACAAAATGCAATGATTTATGTGAACGACACTTACTGCCTGTCGGTATGGCTGTGTGGTTACAGTGAACTTCATCCGTGCCATCTGCACAATCAAGGTCGCCATCACACACCCATGTGTACGGTATGCACTCTCCGGAGACGACGCAGTGGAACTGATCGTACTTGCATGGCGACGGAGGCTCGGTGACGCCTCCTGGTGGGGACAAGTTGAAACACACCATGAGAAGAATGCTCACACATATAGGAGGAATTATGGGAAATACAATTCGACTTAAAAATTAAACCAATGTGAACTAAAAAGCAGAACGCAAACACTGCATTATAGTCACCTAGCTGCTATCATTTACACTGCTGGCAAGCACTTGCCAAGATACTACCCAGTCGAAAACCAAAGAGAATAACTCTTGTAATGTAACGTTGCTAGAATAATTATTTATGAATTGTAGTAAACCAATCAACTTCACGTCAGCAATAGCCGAGTTAATATTGATTACAATGTCAGAAATACTACCTGGTTCCAGACAGGGTTCCGAGAATATTATATCATCGAGAGCTATGATGGTTCTGTCGCCATCTCCTCGCGTTGCCTCGAACACGACAAAGTAATCACTGTTGTGGCCAATCACGATGTGAGCATACTGCCACTCGTTGCCTTGGTTACCAGTTGCTTTCCACATCAGCGCCCTCTGTCCATTCTTGTCTTCTGTGTAAACCTGTAGTGGCAAATTCACGTTTTTTAAGTAGTTGATGGATTGGATTTGAGTTGATACCAAGTGTCTGTTTTCAAGTGACAAGAAGACAAGAGCATTCTTTGCCAATATCTTTTCTTCACCATACAGAAATGAAGATTTCTGAAAGGGTACTTAGGAGCTTACATTGAGAGTGCCCAGGCCATCTGAGCCGTACATGTGGTACCAGAACTTGAGGGTGCATTCTAACGTGCTCTGCGGGAAGGATGGGGTGAGTAGTTGCGCGATGTCTCCTGGCCAATGCTTGGGACTGTTGATGTACAGGAACTTTCCTATAACAAAAGGAAGCAATGAAACCAAAATGCGATCATTACCCTGGTGAATAAACAGGGATAGCTTCAAGGCAATATAATACATGTATGTCTGTTTGTCTGTTCTCAATGCAAATCAATATGGAGCAATCTAGAAATGTCCAAGGACGCTCAGTAGGGGTAACTTTCGATGCTGAATGTCATGGGCACATTGCATTTGACCTCCGAGGTCATCTGACGTCGCAGGGCAAAATGAAGCAAAAAAATTGTGAAAAATTGACCGTACATGTCCCTGCAGCAGCATTATATAAACGGGCACCTACAGCAGCATTAAATAAACGTGGCCCCTACAGCAACATTGTCCAAAGATTCAGCTTGCACTGACTTGCTTTGCTGTTACTAAACGTACAGTAGTAGATAGATAGATAGATAGATAGATAGATAGATAGATAGATAGATCGATCGATATATTTTTTTGGTTATTTTTCTTTCAACCAAGTGGTCACCAACTGAGTGCTTTATTTCCCGGGCAACGCCGGATTTCCTGCTAGTCCATAATAAAAAGCTACCTTTGAGAGCAAATTACATCTAGAACTAGACAGAGTGCACTCACGGAGAGTGCATAACTCCGGACGCCAGCGACATACGCCATACGACTCACGAACACAGGAATAACCCACGATATACGCCAGCATACTGACATGTACATGCTGGCTTGCTGCTCGCTCGCTCGTAGCTGCTGCTCGCTCACATGTACACGCTCGCTGGCTCGCTGGCTGACGCGCTAATATCGATCGCGCGAACACACGAACACACGCACACGAGACCGAAAACATAACCTCCTCCAACTCCGTTGGGCGGAGGTAATAACTTACTACCTTTATTTTACTCTTATTTACAGTTATCTACAATTCTCGAGGGAAACGTGTTAAAAGTAAATCTTTTATGAGCACGTGTCCATTTTATAGTGGTCAATTCAGTGTTTACTACCACTCAAGAGAAACATCGAGCCTCATTTATAGAGATGGTACCATTCTTTAGAGGTGTCCCCAAACACAGGTTTGACTGTATACGATTTTAAACATAGAGTAAATTAACCAACCAATCACCTTTCATCATGGCATTGACAATTCAGTTATAGTGGGCATAAATTACAAATTGTGTATGGGTGAACTTACGTAACCGGATGTACGCAAGTTATCATACCACAGCGTATTACTGTGCAACTTTAATTTAACCACTTTAGATCTAAGGTAACTGATAATCCTTACCTATATCATTATGTACATGATGAATATCTTAATAATCTAGATTATCATCCAAATCTAGATTATCTGATCATGCTTATATATGTCAAAAATTCTACATTTATATGTGTTTGACAGAGACTACAAGTTGGCTTGACATAAGTACCAGTGCCACCACGGGTGTGATCACGTGCAGGTCCACTGTCAGGCAGCGGAGACTTGGTTTCTGCTTCCCACTTAAAATTGGCACCATCCATGTTTTTGTAGTTGCATTCCTTCTCCCAGTGGTCCGCATCAAAATCGCAGTTTCCTTGTCTCCATGCTGTGATTTTAATATCATGTTACACTTGTTATATACAAAAAACATAAAAATGCACGATGGGCAAGAGTAAATATAATATATGATATAAGGATAATCCTTAAGGATTAATTCCTTAATTGGTTGTTGATCTGTTGCATATTGAAGACACATTTTTCCATTAGTTTGTGACGAGTAGCATATTTCCAAAGTTTGAACAGGAGGCATGAGAGAGAAGGGAAACAGCCAAAGAGAATGGCAATTGGCCTTTCTTTCTTAACATTACAGAACTGCATAGCGTCACTCTACATATCGAAACCTCAGGCTGAACAAAAGAAGGCCATTCCATTTTTACTCTACGTGGGCATACCAGCATAACCAGATGTGTGCAGAGAGGCAGACCTAGGTTGGGTTCTCACATAGTCACAATCGATTCTTAGATAAGGTAACATCACTCTTAGAGTGAGGAGACCTGATACTCACGGCAGTTCTTCTCATCAGACTGGTCAGAACAGTTGATCTCCTCATTGCAGACCTCATAGTCCTCGATACATTGGCTTCCATCCTCACAGGGGAACTGATCAGGATAGCACTCCTTGCCTGGGTCATCTGTAATAGCACGCAAATACTTAAAATTCAGTGGGAATCAACACAACAACAACATTTAACAACATTAATAATAATAATAACAACAACAATCAACAACAACAATGACAATAAAAACAACAAAGACATCATCAACAACAACAACCTTAGCAACAACAAGAATCAACAATTATCAAAAGTGATATAGGGTACTTGAATGGCCACCTAGCTCATACCTACATTGTCCTTGGCCAGACTTCTCTATGTCGGAAAAGGCCAGAGTATATCAACTACGTAGTTCAACTCACACTAACCAACTATATATAAAACGGCTTTTAAAATGCCCTTATGATAGTATCTATAGAATACTGTATAAGCTGTATATTTTGCAGTGGTTTAATTTTCGCGAATTTCGCGAACGCGTCGCCGACCGCAAAAATAACAACACGCAAATAATCCATACCGAATAATTCATAATTCACCGACCGCGAAATTAACCAATCGCGAAATTGTCCGTCAAGTCTGAATTCGCGAAAATATCTGTACCTGAAAAATACGGCTTATACAGTATGAGGTATTAAACTTGTCTGGGAGGATGTTTCATACTATACGCACGTACGCATGCACTTACGCACGCATGCACACACCCACACGTGTCTACCATACATACCAGGAATACAATAACAATAAATAACACAAGTTCAAGTTCAAGTAAATAATAATTAATCAAATAAAGATAAATAATAATGATTTAATAATAAATAATAATAAATAAAACGAGTAATTAATGAATTAAATAACATTAAACTATCATGTTATTCCTCAGCCTACATGTATAGCATAACATTACATTCATGATAAGACATAGGTACCCAGTTTGCAGTTTTCGAACGTGATGTCATCAAGGGCGATGTCTCCAGTGTAGCTCTCACCGCGTATCGCCTCAAACACGATCGCGAACTCTCGCTGGGCTCCGATCGTCGCCTCGCCTGCATGCCACTTGTCAGTCTTGTTGCCTGATTCCTCCCAGATCTTCTCATAGGATAGGCCACCTCCAGTCTGAAGAACAGCAGTGTATACATCGTCACGAGCTCCAACCAGATTTCATTTGACGCATATACAGAACCACGTATTACAAAATGAGCCAATTACCACATATGGCCCATTTTCCTGTTTCGAAAAGTTAGTTGCTTCCAAAAAAATTTAAATAGGCACAATGAACGTGGGTTTTCATGGCAAATTTTAGCAGTCAGGATATTTCCAGATCAGCTAAATCTCGCACGACTCGAATACATTTTGCAGTGGTATAGTTTTGATCCTACGAAAAAATATAGACATAGATAGAATCAGCAGTAGAGTTAGACAGATTAACAATTGTGTTACCTGTGATGAAATATAGATCTGTTTGGTACTTTCGTTAATCATTCTTTGGGACGTGGATGACTACTAGCAGACAGGGGCTTGTAATTAGCCATATAAAATAGCTGTACATTAACAGTAAATAATTTAACAGTAACATAAATTAGGTGCAACAAAAAACAAAAAATTAAACCGACACACACAAAATAGTCTTTCGCGGTATCCTCTCCTCCCCCTTTTCAATCACTGACCTTGATGAGCACACGGAGGTCGCGGATCGTCTTGCCGTACATGTGGTAGAAGAACTTGATCGTGCACGCGCTGCTCGAGCCGCCGTAGTTCGCCGAGTGCAGGCGCGCCTTCTCGCCGTCGACATACGCGCCCGACGTCTCGATGTAGACGTAGTAGCCGTCGGCGCTGCCGAGCGTGTGGTCTACGCTCGGGCCGGTGCTTGAGCTGCCTGTCGAGCCCTTCTTGCGCAGCCACCTCATCTCGTAGTCAGCAGCGTTGTACCAGCCGCACTGACTGTTCTCAAAGTCGCAGTCCGTACCTACAGCGCACGCGAGAGGAGACAGCATGAACGAAACAGCGGCTACTGTCACATCTGTGTTAACTACCACTGAGTTAATTCTCGGGCACGGGCACCTGTCAATAAGGTACACTAACTTTTTTCTTTGAATTCTAACTTAACTGCCTATATTCGTTCTAACATGAAACACTTTGCCTAATTCGTGCTCGAGAAATCTTTGTCCACGCGATTCACACTTGGCAAGCACATATTCGTACCGCACATTTCCTCGTCGGAGTTGTCGCCGCAATCGTCAACAAAGTTGCAGCGTTGTGCCGCGGAGTAGCAGAGCGTGTTGTTGCACGTGTACTTGTCTGCTCCGCATGCGCCGGGGGTCGTGCTAGCCGCCGTCGTGCCCCCTGGTAGCGGATTATCAGACACCACGCACTCCGGGGTCATCGAGAGGTCGTCGAGCGCGATGTCGCTGTGGTAGGACAGACCGACGGCGCCCTCTATGACGACCTCAAAGTCGGCATCGCTGTTCGGGTCGCTCGCCTCGAGCTCGGCGCGATGCCAGAAGTCGCCCTGCTCGCCAACGATGCTCAGCAGCACGAGAGCGCCCCCTGGTGCGTACGACGTGCGGCGGTAGACGACGATGCTGCCGGTCGTCGCTCCGTACATGTGGTACCAGAAGCGCAGCATGCAGCGGCTGCTGGTGCCGCGGATGACGCTGCTCGAGATCTGCGCGCGGTCGCCCGCGTCGTGCATCGTGGACGACTCGACGTAGATGAAGTGACCTGAGAAGATTTCAAACATCACAGCTTCGACAATGCCAGCTCTCAACCGAGTATTCGCCACGCAAAGATTGCTGGACCCCCCGCCTCCCACATGTGGTATTAAGATTCTAACTGAAGATATTAGCCTTTCACTGGCTTGGTGCCGTGTTGGCTTGTTTCATTAGGTGAAGGGTTGGGTTAAAAGCGTTAGATAAGTTTCGACATTATTTAACACAGCTAAAAAAGAAGCGAAACATTAGAATACCACGATAAATCTAGGATATAGTTTTAAGGTAAAAAAACATTCAGCTTGTTTAATCCTCGCTGTATATCCCCTGCAAGAACACATCAAGGAATACATTACGGATTAGGTACCTCGATTAGTGCGCATAGTATGGTCTGAAGAAGGTCCGGTCCCTGTACTTGGAGTTCCTCCTGATGTCAGTACCCAGTCAAGTTCATCCACGTAATCGTTAGGCTCTTGATGCCAAAAGTGGCTGCACATGTCCTCCTGCACAGTGATGATGGGAGGGATAACTGCACGTGAATGTTTGTGGCCACACGGTTTACACTGCGATTGGCTGCACAATGCATACCTACATGTTGTGTGCTAATTGGTGGTGCGACACACGTCATATGATTGGCCATGCCATACAAAGTTCCAAGATGTCATGTCATGATTGGTCATGGTATGAGTTATACTTGTGCAGCATATGCTAAACGACCACTCACAAACATACCAACCACTCTGCCATAGACAGTACACTATATAGCATAGTATAATATGCACAGTGCACTTCAACCCACTGTTTGTGTAACGTACGTCAGAACTAGCATGTAGCAACAATAAAGAATTAAAATGACAAAACTATTTATTGTAATTACACAAATGCCTTATTACTTATTATGTGTGAGCAACCAACCGACCAACCACATATTTCCAACCAACTACTATGACCTTAATTTTCCCTTTAAACAGCTGTCAGAATACACATAAAGAAATTAGCATGAAACGAGAACACGGAAACATGATAACACTACCATGGTGCAGGGAATGCACTAGCAACTATCACAGCACAAGGCATGGACGATTAACTATCACGGTGCAGGACATAGACTATCAACTACCATGATGCAGGGCATAGACTATCAACTACCATGATGCAGGGCATGGACTATCAACTACCATGATGCAGGGCATAGACTATCAACTACCATGATGCAGGACATGGACTATCAACTACCACGATTGCAGAGGGAGCGAGAGAGAGAGAGAGAGAGAGAGACAGAGAGACCGAGAGAGAGAGACAGAGAGACAGAGAGAGAGACAGAGAGAGAGACAGAGAGAGAGAGAGAGAGAGAGAGAGAGAGAGAGAGAGAGAGAGAGAGAGAGAGAGAGAGAGAGAGAGAGGAGAGAGAAGGAGAGAGAGAGGAGAGAGAGAGAGAGGAGAGAGAGAGAGAGAGAAGTGGAGAGAGAGACGAGAGAGAGAGGAGAGATGGATGAGCGAGAGAGAGAGAGAGAGAGAGAAAATCAGGTTAGTCATAGTAAATGCCTTGTTTAGTTACTATTTACATTTTTATGATTTTATGTAGTTTAAATAGGGGCCACCTGATGGAAACTCGAGCACTATCCCCGGCTAAACCTTCTTAATAGTATATCTTCTATGGCGTGGTCATATGCGACATTCTTTAGCAAGAACGCCATACCACAGGTGCCTCTATGAATTTATATGCAGGTAGGCAATACAACATTAGCCGTCGCTAGCGGCGTGGACTGTTGATGGTCGTAAATAGCACCTCTGCCTAAAGAGCAAATTATAGTGCCCAGCTGTCGCCATTACTATTGAGAGGTGACACCGGAAACACTGTATCACTGCAGTATTAGTCAGCGAAGACACGAGAACACAAACAGCAGCAGGACTTCACTAGAATTTCGGCCATTCATTTATAGCATTTTAACAAAAACTGACCCATCAAGAAACTTGAACAAAAAGAAAAAAAAATGGCTCCCCGCCCCCCTGAGAACGCCTCTGCGTAGTTTCAATGCAATGAAAGGTCACTAAGATGTTAAGCCGACGATCCAATTACCGATTTATTTAGAAAACTATTAATACACGCGCACACTATGCTGATTGCAGCTGAGTTGGAGCTGCTGCCCCTGCCGTCTTTACTGTGCGGGTCATGGCCCTATTAGCAGCGGCTTGTGCAGCATTCCCAGGAACACGCCGTGCCGGTTTCTCCAGTGTATTGGCTATGTAGCAGAAATGCCACACCAATTAATTTATATTAATAGCAACTACTCAGTTTTTATTGAAAGAACTCTAGCGAGGTTGTATGAAACTCCAATTACCAAGCACAGGGTCAGTTACATGTAGAAACGCCGTACGTCATATATCGATAAGAACTTGTTATCATCAGAGTGGACAAGTGTGATATGCCTCATCCACTACTCTAATGACGATACACAGTGACACACACGGCGTGACCACGCGCCACGCACTCCACAACGCCCGCACGTACAGCACGTGCGCACCACCCGCACGCACCGCACAGCACGCACGAGGAGGCGACGCACGAAGTCCGCACGCACACAACACACACACACACACGCGCGTTTGTTTGTGTCTATAAAACATCTATTAGCATGTTGGCTATACAAAATCATTGCACATTAAAATAATCACATTAAGTATATACACATGGCTACGCTTATACGGATTAAGCATTGACATTTATCTTTAATATATAGTGAGGAACATGAATCTTCTTATGATTACCTAATGTATTTTTCTGGTAAAGATTGGTGCGGCATATTCCTTCATGTCTTTTAAACTCGAAAAGCAACTTGAACGCAGATCATGCCAAACTGAGCATCTCACCTATTTAACAGATCTGCACGCAGCAGTTATGCTAACACAGGGGATGTGCCACTCGGCAGTTTATCTAACACAGGGGAGTGCACTCAACAGTTTATCATGCTGGTCAGGCATCAGCACGGCAATCCTGCGTGCCGTTTGGCCATGGTAACGGCAAGCAGCGCTGCAGCGAGCTTGGAAGTGGCTACATGTGATACCACCATCTCGCAGCTCAACATTGCGGCGCGCGCCATCCGTATCGGCTCGGCTGCGCCAGGGGTCAGCTAGCTGTGTTCTGTACACGAAGCTTACTGTTCAGCCGTAGAGATAACCAGCCTGCAAGAATAATGTACAGCACACACATACCACATATATATATATGTATAATATATATATATATCTATATATATATATATAATGTATATATATAATATATATATATATATATATATATATATATAT